GTCTTTCTAATAAGACCCAAAAAATAGCACATTTCCTTATATTCTTTTTATCTGTCCTGCCTCTCAGAATCTGTGCAGGTAAATACTTGAAGCTTGGAAATATTTTGAAACCCACTGATTTTTCCAGCCTTCTCACTACCAGGCCAAGTAGAGCAGAGCAAACATACAGGATTGATCAGCAAGTTTTCATGGTAGATAAATACTACAACCAAGATTCCTGCTTTTTGTTCCTGAAAAGTAATGTTCTTCATGTCCTCTATGTGTTCATATGGCCATCAATCTTATTCTAAATATGCCAGTGATTCTAACTCTGCCTCCCCCAATGTACACGAAGGTGGCAAGGACATTTTCATTCTCAACCCACTCAGAGTTGCTTAATGCTCTGTAAACACATTTCTCTTTGGAAATAATGTTGATTTAGAAACATATCCAAAGGTAATGACGTCTTTCATAGCGTTTCTTTTAAAAAGATAGCTTTGTTTTGACAGCTTTTTTTTGAAATTTATGCTATACAATTAACAAAGTTATCACCAAAGTCAACTCTTTTTACATTTGCTTTTCTCCTGTAGTCCTCGTTTATGTAAACATGTAATAATTAGTCATAACTTGACTTTTGTCACGTATTTTCATTAGTTTTTGATGTTGTAATAAACCTCATATTTATCACTCTTGATAAATGTGTAATTTGTTGGAATGACGTGACATTTATCTTTGACTTTGACATTTGGCTAAAATCTGCCATTTAGACTTAGCTTTGGCCTCAACTTATTTCAACATTTTTTCTAGAATCCTTGAAATTGTGCATTTTCAGCAATCCTATTATTGTTATAGGCAATCATTGCATAAAATCACTATCATAATGCTGATAATACAATCAAGGAATGATTTATGAGTTTATTTTAATATACAAGTATTCTCTTTCAGTTATAATATGTATTTTAGATATATCTTCAGGTGATAAATTTCTTGTCTCTAACAAAAAGATAATTCAAAATATTGATATTTGCACAAACTCTCTTAATTAAGGCATCATAAGGCCATTTTAGGCATCATACCCTCAACTGTCTTATAGCTGTTTTTGGTAAGAAAATCATGACACTAAAAATGGGTTCTTTTGGCCCATTTTGGAATTGTATTTACTATACAAATTGCAGAGGTGAGTGGCAGAAAATGATGATATTTTCATTTTTTAAAAAAATCCTTGCCGGGCTCAGTGGCTCAGCCTGTAATCCCGCGCCTTTGGGAGGCTGAGGTGAGTGGATTGCCTGAGACCACGGGTTCGAGACCCGCCGGGGCAGCGAGACCTCATCTCCACAAAAATCAAAAAAAAATCAGCCAGGCGTGGTAGTGCGCGCCTGTAATTCCGGCTACTCGGAAGGCGGAGGCGGAAGGATCGCCGGAGCCCAGCGGGTCGAGGCTGCGGTGGCCGGGAGCGGCCTCTGCACTCCAGTCTGGGCGACCGAGTGAGACTCCAACTCAAAAAAAAAAAAAATCCTCTATTTTCTCTAACTATTGTCAATGTTCATATTTCACCTGAGCATTCCATAAGAATCAAGCAGAAAACATGGAAAGAAATATCAAAGTGGAGAAGTTTTATTTCATCTGGATAACAAATAACCCTGCAAGACTCCTTACCTTATCTTAGAATACCAAAGTGGAAGAGTCAACACAGGGATATATATTAGTGAACCTATATAAATTTTAATTGAGGCAATAGGTTTTCCTGTCAGAAATAAGTCTAATTTGACTGATGATTTTTACAATGACAATTGGTTTTGCACATTAGCCGATTGGTGCACACTTTCAACACATATAATGAGCTGAATGTATGGTCATGATTTTGATAAGATAAAAGCTTTTTGTGAGGCTTTATACTGACAAAAGTATATTTAAATTAATGATATTTTAATTGTTCAAAATTGTCTGAGTTTATTGGGTTAAAAATTGTTTCTTTAAGTAAAAAAAGTAACAATTGAGGCCACTTGTAAGTCCTGGTGAGCCTTTTTTGCATACTTTCTAGGAACTGAGAATGAGAAAGATTTATTGTTATTTTTATTTTTTATTTTAAAGATGTGGGATACAATTCAGAATGAGAATGATTTTAATGACTAATTTCCAAATCCTTTTGCAATTGACCTGGTTTCCAGTGCTCTGATTGCAACAATATTAAGGAAGATGTATTTTGCTTATCCACTTATATATAATTAAAATTGATTTTAATGTTGTTTATAATGTGACCTTTGACTTATAACTTAGAAGTCTAAATAATTAAATGGCATTGTTATAACAGAGCTTTTCCTATTTCTCTTTCTTTACATGAACATGTTTTCTTAGTGCTTACATCTATACAATAGAAAATAGAATAGGTATAATCTGGAGCTGAAAGAGAGTAGAATAGAAAAAATAAGAAAAGAATAGATAGTTGAAACTTGCTTCAATCTAGCAACAAGCAATATTCATCCAAGAATGAGTCTCATTGAGAGAGTCATGTGGAATACATCATTTACTTCATTAAGAAATTATTTTCAAACACAATTTTCTCATATTTATATTTTTTAGGTTTACAGTAGATAATTTTATAAATAATATGTTGATAATAATTGTAATGGTAGCTCAATCTAGAAAAAATTATTACTGATTAGAGCTTTTAGGCACAAGAATGCTTTTGTAATAATTTTGGTTATCTTTAGTTGCAGAAATGTATAATAGGGTTATCAATAAAGTATGTTGAAGTGAAACACTAGGAGAAGAGTACCCGGAGAAGTAGAATGAAAATACAAGATCCAAAAGAAACAAGAATGATGTAAAATTTCCTACGAGTTAAAAAAAAAGAGTTCATGTATGTTTTAAATGAATAATGTAGGCAACAAATCACTGCAGTATTTACATTCGATTGGATACATTTAAAAAGTTATATTTCATGTTTTAAAGGTAAGTGTTTATATTATAACTTTTCCTCATCTTGCTCATCATAAAAGAAATTATAAACGTTAGGGTTCAGTGGCTCAGCCTGTAATCCCAGCACTATAGGAGGCCGAGGCAAGTGGATTGCCTGAGCCGGCAGGTTCGAGACCAGCCTGGGCAACTTGGAGAGACCTGTCTGTACAATTAATCAAAAATTAGCCAGGCGTGGTAGCACATGCCTGTAGTTCTGGCTACTTGGAGGGCTCAGGCGGAAGGATAGCCGGAGCCCAAGCAGGTCGACGCTGGGGTAGACGTGAGTGTGCCACTGTACTCCAGCCTGGGCAGTGGAGTTAGACTCCAACTCAAAAAAAAAAAAATTATAGATGTTAAATATGTATGAGGGATTGCATGTTTAATAAAATTTATTTTGAGGAATACAAGAAAAATGTTTAAAGATCACGAGAGTGTAAAAGTCTATGATGACAAAGCAGCGCAAGTATTATTTTTGTCCTATAATGTCGAATATGTACAATGCATCAACTAAAATTTTTAATTAAAAATCAAAATGATAAAATTTGATAACATTTCAGATTTGTTCTTCCATTCCAGAAGTTCAAATTATGATGATGATTTTTGCTTCAGGCAAAAAAAAAAAAAAAAGGATTTTTATTCTTAGTCACTTAGCATTTGGTCTGATACAGGTTTGGCTCCTATCTAAAAAGTGTAATTATGCCTAGGAAAAGTATTATAGAAACCTCTTAAAAGTCATATATTGCTTATTGCAAACGAATGTAACCAATATTAAACTGATAGAAAATAATGTTATGTATGACCATGTAGGGTTGAGGTGGGGGCGTAGAGAGAACTGGAAAGATCAGTGGGTGTGGAGAAAGCTCTTGGTTATAATGAGAGATGGAACCACTAAAATAAAGCAAAAGATTTGCATTCATTTATAAGCATTTGTCAACTACCAGAGGCTAGCACAATGTATTAATACACTTCATCCCATTTGACTTGGCATTTTTTTTACCCATAGTTTATCATTATTTGAATTTTAATAGCTTACATATCTGCAGTTTTGTGGTTCACTAAGGGCTATCACAGACACTGTCTTCACTTTTCCATCACTCTTTCAGACCACATACAAAAATATATGTCAAGGCTTGCCTAGTCCCAAGTTAGAGGTAAACACATAAAATATTCTCCATCCTCAGAAGTGTCTGTTTCTCTTCACATCTTACTTTATGGGTTAAACCACTTTTTTATCCAAAATATACAAACTTCAATTTTGTGTAGATCTAGTTATATTAATGTAACAGTGGATCTTTCTTATTTTCAGGATTCCATAAAGATAGATTCAAACATCCCAATTTCCCTTGGAAAGCAAATAGGATGATGTATCACTTCTGATAAGATGTTTTTATATTTTAAATAATTCAAGGTAAAGTTAAATAAGAATGTTCATCAATAAAGTATAGATGCTGAATGAACCAAAAGATAGTAAATATGTATTATGTGAGTTGTTATATCCAAATGAACTGCCATTTTCTTTACAAAGTAAGGATACCTGTAAAAATCAAAAGTTAAATTGTCAAACAATGGAGAGGTTGCTCCAAACTTATTTTGTTTAAAAGTCTGTGACAGATTTCACTTCCATTTAGGATGAATCTCGGGTGATATATGAGATGTTCCCTGGACTACCAAGAAGAGATCTGGGATATGGATTTGCTTTAATAGCCCTTTTTAAAAAGTCAAGAGTATTGATTTATTTCATCAAACTGTATAATTTATTTTGTATCTTTATTAAAATATTTAAAGAACTGATTAATTACCTGAGCTAGTGGTAGCCTCAAAGAACTATCTTTCATGCATTTGAAAAATTGGGTAAAATGAATGACAGAATACGTATGGTCATGGAAATAATCTGGAATTGATTTTTTAATACTGGAAGTAGTTAATATGTTACAAAAATAAATGGTTGGCAGTTTGCTTTCACTGCACATCAAGTGAAATAAAAACCAGTGAGTCTGGAACAAGAACAGAGTTCAAGGAATCAAGGGCTTGGACTCCCATTCTTTCCGATTCCTCTCCACACCATGAGGGGAAATCAACTGCCCAATCCAGTCTTGATTCTACTTTTCCTGCTCCTTCCCAGAGATGCTTCAGCTACTGGAAAACCGTAAGCAACATCTCCATAAAGTTCCATTGTCCTCCTTCTTCCTCGTTGTGTCAACTCCTTGATCTTTATTTCCTGACTTCCCAAGCAATTATCTGTTGTCAAAAAGGGCTTGGAAGTGTCACTCATTTGTTATTGCTCATGTGGAAAGAGATATACTCCAATTCAAGAAAACTCAGAGATATAGGGTAGAGTGAGAACATTTGTGGAACATTTACCAAATAAAAATATAGAATTTTCACTATATATAATGGGCATTGGCCACTCAGAAGGGGGAGGGTGGAAAGAGGTGGAGGAACCAAAAAATCACCTTATCGGGTACAATATACACAGGTGAGGGGGGTGGGCACACTTAAAGCTCACATTTCTTCACCACTATACAATGTATCCATCCATGTAACCAAAACTACTCATACCCGCCTAAAGCTATAGGAAAGGAGGGAGGGAGAAGAAAGTAGGGGGAGAGGGAGAGGGAAGGGAAGAGAAAAAAGAAATCCTATCAAAAGAGGATAAATTTTGTACCGGATCATAAAATTTGCTTCAGTGTCTGGGCCATTATGAAGTGACTCAGTATCTATGTTTTCTTTCAGTTCAGAATTGCTAATGTTAATGTATGGTCTAGAGGCAAGCCAGAATTTGTGTCAGTTCAATCAATCCTATGGTAAATTTTAGGGGCTGGCAATGGTTCTTGGGGCTGAGCATACTTCAGACCCTATTCCCATTACTTTACAATATAGTAAAGGAGTAATATGGGTCACAGAGAATGAACTCTAGCACAAAAACAGAAGTGGACATTGCAGGATTCGGTGAGATATTCACAAAGAAAACCTAAATCTACTTTGAACCAGATGTAAGGGAGGGGACATCACCCAATTCTTCATAGAAAAAGTTGCTTTTAAGAGAAGTCCTACAAAGCAAATAGAAGTTTTCCAGATCAACAAGAACACTCAGGAAAGGAGAGAAGCGTGTGCAAACATACAACATCACAAAGTACAATGTGTTTGAGTGCTTAGGTGAAAGGTAAACAGTAGCAAGCAAGTGGTATTTTCTTCTTGGTGTATATGGTAATATGTCTGGTGATTAGGCTAGTTTGGCATGCCTGGGCCCCCATTATCAAAGACTTAAAGAAAGAAAAAACAAGGTTTCTTCTGAAATCATAGTGAAAAACAATTCAGCTTCTCCTTACATATTACATATTATTTTTTAAGTCTTTCCTGAAACAAAAAGATTTGTGATTATTATCTATATGAAATCCAAAACCACATACAGACAGGTTCTTAATGCTTTCAATGATGAGTTTTTGATTAATTCACATTTTGTAAATTTGAAATTGCTATGCAAAATATATAATTCATGGATTGCTTACTGATGGCTATTAATCATTTTTCTGGTATTTTGAGGGTGAATTATCACACAACACAAGAAAGCATATTAATGTTTCATTTGGGGTTTTCTGAGTCCCTCGGGTCTTTGGGTTGGCCTTTGAAGAGTTTGCTGCTGCCGAAATCTTTCTGTGCTCCATGATTGGTGACAATAGCAACGATAATCTAGAAAATAACCACCCAAATGTTGTGTTTTTGATCCCTCCATAGTTGACTCAGCTCCCGCCCCTTCTCCACAGGCAGTACATAGTGCTGGTCCCGTCACAGCTCTACGTTGGAGTACCTGAAAAGGCCTGTGTCTTCCTAAATCACCTGAATGAGACGGTGACACTGATCATAACCCTAGAATATGGACTGCAGAGCCGGAACCTCCTCACAGACGTGGTGGCAAAGAGGAACGCTTTCTACTGCAAACCCTTCATTGTCAGTATCACTCCCTGAAATAAGGGAGATGGGTAGAGAAAGAGTATATTAGTTGATACCTTGTGTTCTGATCCCAAGAAAATTAAAAAGTAGAACAAAGGAAAAATGGAGAATTCAGAGTGAATTTCAAACTAGACTCTAAGAACGAAAGTTCTATTGGGTATCTCCACATAAAATTTACAGATAGATCTAATGCAGTGTTAGAAAAGTAACAGTTGAGCCAGGCTCGGTGGCTCAGCCTGTAATCCCGCGCCTTTGGGAGGCTGAGGTGAGTGGATTGCCTGAGCCCGCGGGTTCGAGACCCGCCTGGGCAGCGAGACCTCATCTCTACAATAAATCAAAAAATCAGCCGGGCGTGGTAGTGCATGCCTGTAATTCTGGCTACTTGAAAGACTGAGGCAGAAGGATCGCCAGAGCCCAGCAGGTCAAGGCGGAAGGATCGCCGGAGCCCAGCAGGTCGAGGCTGCGGTGGCCGGGAGCAGCCACTGCACTCCAGTCTGGGTGACAGAGTGAGACTCCAACTCAAAAAAAAAGAAAAAACAAAGAAAAGTAACAGTGGTTATGGAAAGGATTTCATCTGATCTTAAAGTAAATTTCTGACGTAAATAATGTTCATGCCATTACAGATAAAAACGCTAAGATTCATAAAGATAAATGATTTATCTGAGATTTCACAGAAGGTGAAAATGTGCTGTTCTTTTAACCTTTTATCACTTAAAGTATTAAATGTTTAATCATACTGGTTTACTAAAAATAATAGCACAATATTCTACTGACCTTTGAAAAATAAAACTTTAATAATTATTTAATAACACCATATTGCTGTGACGATGTAAGCTTTCCATTTCTTTTATTGTCGTGACTGGATTAAAGAATTAATTCACTGTTTTGCAATGATATTTTCCCTTTCAATCAAATCAACAAACTGTTACTGTCATGTTACACAAATATAATCATCTATAAGGGGCATGATCCTTTACTTTGCTCCTTACTAATTCTCAGAGACCAACCAAGAAAACAAAAACTCATAAAGGCTGAAACATTCAGAAGTGAGGAGTCTGGGCAGATTCTTCAGCTCATTTCTGTTTTATAGATTCCAGAGTTGCCATCTTCCTCGGCCTTCATTGCTGTACAGGTAAATGGGCCAACTCTGCATTTCATAAAGAGAAAACCAATGTATATAACCAATGTAGAGAACCCGGTCTTTGTCCAGACAGACAAACCCATGTACAAAGCAGGACAAACAGGTATGAGGAACCAAATTAGTGAGGGAAACTTTAGGGGAGGGGGGAGTTTATTATTTTATTCTGTAGTCAAGGGAGTTCTGGCATGCTGTTACTAACCTGGGTTCTTGCTGAGTGTTTTACAAGGAAAATCTCTGTGTTTCAGTGAGATTCCGCGTTGTCTCTGTGGACATCAATTTCCACCCTTTGAATGAAACGGTTAGTCTCATAACTGGGTGAGGCTGGGGAAAAATATAATGCCTAGTCTTTTGGAAAACCTGAAGCCAATATAAAAGATACTTAATTGTGCCACAGAAAGATCTCATAAAGCTACCACTGCTAGAATAATAAGAGGGTTAGGAAGCTCATCAACTGCATTCTTAAAATAAATTAAGTATTCAGCTGAAACTGTTTTCTTAGTGATCCCAATTATTTTTGGTGAATAAAAGAAGTGCATTTGATTTCTCTCTTAAATAAATATCTGCAAAATAATAATAAACTTGATATTTGGACCTTTTAAAAATCTAATTAGGTTTCCTCAGTTGTATGTTCACATAAGGAAAAGCATGACTTTTAAAAAAATATATGTCCTGTTACACATATAACTTGTTGTGAACCAAACAGGGAACACTTTATTGTTTGAACAAGAAATGTAGAGACTCACTTCCTCTAGTCCATACACTCTGTCAGTGCTGGTGTCGTGCATGGTTTTGACTTTTTAAAGTTTATCACATGCTCATACTATTTATTTCTTTCTTTTCAGTTCCCGGTAGTTTATATTGAGGTAAGTAATAAACTGAATATCTCAATGGAATGGGAACTCCCTACAAGTTACATTAAATTGCCTCTCTCCTTTCTCTCATACTCATTTCACCAAAACTAAACAAATACTGTTTTCCCTGTCTACCTTAAGTTCTTTGGAGTGGATACAAGGTAAATGAGGAGCAAAATTCCTTGAGATGATGCAATGTAGTGACTCTTCCAAAATTTCTGACCAAAACAAACATGCATAAAATCAAAAAGCAGTATCAGTATGAAATGTCATCTATCATATCTCACAGCTAGTAACTTATTGACCTTTTTTCCCATCTGGAATTCCTAGAAAACTTCGCAAATACCTTCGGGTCTATTTACCAACCATCTTTGATACAATTCCTGGTGTCGTTCTTACCTGAAAAAAATGCCTCCTACTCAAAAGTATATATATCAACTGTTTCTCTGAACTCATAATACTTTTATCTATAGAATCCCAAGAAGAACCGGATTTTCCAATGGCAAAGTCTCAAATTGCAAGGGGGATTCAGCCAGCTCTCATTCCCACTCTCAGTGGAGCCCATTCTGGGTCATTACAAGATTGTGGTGCAAAAAAAGTCAGGGAAAAAAATCGAGCACTCCTTTGAGGTGAACGAATATGGTAAGAATGCTACATGTGTAAGTTATTTATTACATCAGCGTAAGATTGGATAATGTTTGCATGTAGGGAATAATCAAAAGTCTACCATACAATAGTTGGAAATTAGGATGTTTTTATTTAACTGGGTATTTGCTAAGCACTTTTCACATACCACCTTCTTTAATCCTCACAGCAGCCCTCTGAGGCAGATACTATGTTCTTACTTTAAAAATGAGCGTATCAAAATCACAGAGCCAATAAAAGGCAAGAGAGAGTTGTCTATATCCTTCTGACCCATCAAACATAAATTGTTAACCAATACATGGTGTCCTCTACATACACTATGTATCTGTTTTCTGCACCTTGTAACTGAAGATATTTCCCAGAATTATCTTACGGTTATCTGTAACCTACACCTACACTACTCTAATCAACTGATTTCTAAATCACAGTAATTTAGTAATAAACCAAACTGTAGTTCAACTATGTACAGTAACCAAATAGGCTGTAACATAGTTGATTTAGAATTCAATCATAGTTGATTACTAAGTCAGATATTGAAGGCATCGTATAGTTACAATTATGTGGATTTTAAAAAGTGACTTAAATATTTTATGCCATGGCTGAGGAGTCTTATCACAAGATGTTATTCCCAAAACTCACTAGAACTGTCATAAGAATCACAGAATAGGGATATATTATAGGAATAACACCTTACACAACTACAGCTAGAAAAGTAAGAGTTCATCAGGAGAATTTGAATCAAAGAAGATTGCTAACAAGTTCTGAGCATTCTTGGAGACAGATAAATTCGAACTTTTTAAGATGTGGGAAGCGAGACACTTTAGCTGCCTAAGTGGACCATACAAGGAAATTGATGGAAGAGTCTGTGAAAGGCTAATTTTCAACTATTGTGTGTTCTCTGCATAGCTACTGCTTCAGTAGGCCCATAGCCAAATGTCTGGTGGTGGACCTGGGACCTCCGTTAGATAGTGGGACTAGCATTTGGGACGAAAAGTTGAACACAGGAAGGGAAAGAATAAGGACAAAGCAGAACCTGCGGGTCTCTCTAGTACCACATCTAACTGTGATACTTTCAGAGATTAATGACACCACTTCCCTTCCACTTTTGAAATTTTACACAAATTCAGAGAGTCTAGAAAATGTAATACCAGCTTAATTAAGTTAATGGGACAAACTGCCCATGGTAATGCATGGCAGTCCTTGTCCGTACTGTCCCTGTGCTCCCTTTGTAATTGAAGTCATTTCACATGATCTTATGTTACAGGGTTCTGTAATAGAATCATTGCTAATACTGACAAGATCTCCTGCCCACTCTCATCTCTTTTTCTCTTCTATTGGAAACAGTTTTGCCCAAATTTGAAGTCCAAGTAAAAATGCCCAAGGCTATTGGTTTTCTTGATGAAGAATTTGTGGTATCCGTCTGTGGCTTGTGAGTTTTTGTTGTTGTTGTTGTTTCAATCTCATTTTTATTACCACACTCTGTTTGAGGGGATGTATTATAAATAAAAATTACCAAACTTAGAATTATTTTAATTAGGGAAAAATAACTCTCCAGCTTGCCTAAGCTCCCACTAGGATGCAGAGATAGTAAGTAGCAGATGACACTTCTGCTCATAATAAAATTATTTCCTAGACATTTAAAATGTGCCAGACAATGTTCCAAGCGCCTTGTACTTATCAATATGTGTATTCTTATGGTATCCCTATGAGATAGAGATAATTACTTTCTTCAGTTTACAATGAGGAAACTGCAATATATAGAGGATTTTAAATTTTACTCAAATTACTGCAGATAGATAATGATAGACTGCAATTTATTTATTTATTTATTTATTTTTGAGTCGGAGTCTCACTCTGTCGCCCAGACTGGAGGGCAGTGGCCGCTCCCGGCCACCGCAGCCCGACCTGCTGGGCTCCGGCGATCCTTCCGCCTCAGCCTTCCGAGTAGCAGGAATTACAGGCATGCGCTACCACGCCCGGCTGATTTTTTGATTTATTGTAGAGATGAAGTCTCACTGCCCAGGCGGGTCTCGAACCCGCGGGCTCAGGCAATCCACTCACCTCAGCCTCCCAAAGGCGCGGGATTACAGGCTGAGCCACCGAGCCCGGCTAGACTGCAATTTAAATCCAATAGTGTGGTTGCAGACCCCAAACTCTTCACCATTATTCTATATTGTTCCTGCAATTTTAAAAAAATATGGCTTTATAAGCACTTATTTATCCCAATCCCTTTGCTAAACTGAACCTACGCCATCCAACTAGGGAGCTCAGTCTCATGTCCTCTGTGTTATTCTGTGTCCTATTAGCTCCATTTTCTTTATGGCTCCCAATTTCTTAAACTATGGAAAGGCACAGTAATTAGTTGGGGGGAAGTTAGGCATATGCTTTACTTTAAATCATAGAAATATGTGACAGAATTAAAAATATATATTCTGCATAGTCATTTCTTCTCTCCACACTCACGGAGGAGAAAAACGTTCCCTCTTGCTTTTGAAAGCAGCATGAGAAACATAGTTTCATCCTTCTCACCAACCTTGATGTTTTAAATCTTTTTATCAGAGGGGAAGTCTTTTGATCCAGATTAAAAGATAAGATTCCAAAAGTAACTAAAGTTTAGTAAATGATATATTGCTTTATCAGCACTTACAGGAAATTGTAGGGGGGATGCTATAAAAAGCGGACCCTTGTGGTCTGAGGCTATTATCTACCACACACTTAAGCTTTAGTGTACATTGAAGTCTATGAAGGTGCTTAGTTAAAATGTAATTCTCTGGCCCCACCTCCAGAGATTCCAATGATAAATTGGAAATTTATGGGAAAGTCGTGGGAATCCGTAACTCAACATGTATCTCAGGTAATTTCAATGTAGGTTTTCCATAAAGCACACTGTGAGAAACAACAAACTAATTCTGGCTTTGCATCATATCCTTCCATTTTATTTTGCAGAATAAAACTATCATTATGATATAGCATTTTTGTTTTATAGCTACTGCTTTGCCATCTAGGTTCTCATTTATTCTCTTAAAATACTTAACAATTAAAGAGGACTTAGAAATACGTTCTCCGTATATTCTTAATTACTTGCCCCAAAACAATTTAGGTGGTGCTGTCAAAACTAAAATCATAACCTAGATTATCCAACAGCAGAGAAAAAGGGAAATAGAACAGTCTCATAGTAAAATCTCAACTGTGAGGGAGGAAATATCTGAGAATTGGTAACTTTCCATTTGGAGGTGCTTCAAAAAAAAATTAAGTAATTTTTTTGGAATTATAGATAGTTAAAACACAGTCCTTCAGAATAAGTGCTTCTAAAATGCAAATGCTACTGAACACCTTATGTTCTCATAAATGGGTTCTAAACACAGGGTACACATGGTCACCGGGATGAGAACAACAGACACTGGGTACTGCTAAAGGAGAGAGGGGGAAATAAAGGATGAAAAACCACTCATTGCATATCACACTCACCACTGGGGGAGGACTTATACCTATGGAACAAATCCTTACATGTATCCCATGATTCTAAAATGTAAAAAAAAAAAATGCTCTAGAAGGTAATATAATTGCTTGAGATAAGTAAGGTGGATATATAAATGGGTCAAATCAGGTGAAGAAACATCTGCACTTTTATATTAAAGAGCTTGCATTATGGCCTCTTTATTGCTGTAGATACACATATGGAAAGCCTGTCCCTGGCCTGGTGACAATTAATGTGTGCAGAAAATATTCACGATACTATTCTGCCTGCCACGGCAAATATTCACAAAATATCTGTGATGAATTCAGTCAACAGGTATGTGGAAACCATCCTGCTTAGGGCACTAATAGCAGATCTTATTTTCTCACGAATTAAGTAGTGAATACAATACAATAGAAAGCGATGTTTAAAATAGTCATCTAGCAAAATTATGGCAGGAGGTAAAAATTGATTGCCTGGCAGTGTCAGAAACCCAGCTGAAGAGTGGGCTCACAAATTTATAGTGATCTTCGTTTGGTCAGTTTTGTCATTTCTTTCCAGCAGTAGTCAACATGCAAGTATAAGAGCAAAGAAAGGATGTATAAGTATCCAAAGTTGACTTCTATCAGATAGCAGAAGAATGTGGGTGGCAGGTGTTAAGAATTTGGCTAATGGAAGAATCAAATGCATACCTCAGAATCTAAGCTGCACGTGGGGGAATATTAAACTAGCATCAGGTTGAAGAGAGAAAGACCTATAAGGACAATGGATTGGAAGCCCAAGTCACATCAAAGAAGAGGTGTGATAATTAAGGAAAACAGCTGAAAATAGAATATGTTGTATTAAAAATGTAATGCAAAAAGTACTGATTTCAGAGGAAGAGTATGTAGAATAGTCAAAGAGTATGTATGTATGAATGTAGAGTATGTATGAAGAATATTAGGAAGAGTATGAAGAAGTACAGGATGTAGCAATGTGAGCAGGCACTGCAAGGGTGTGGAAAAGTAACTAATCAAAGTCACAGAGAGCAAATAAATGAGAGGCTAGGGAGATCGATATAATGAACACCAAGATAAACACTGATAAGCAAATTAAACATGAGAGGAATCCAGATGCCGAAATATTTAATATATCAGAGAGACCAGGATTAACTTTTATTTTTAAGTGAGTCATGGTATTTGTATATAAATAACTTGACTATGATTACATTTTATTATGCAGTAAAGATTTTCAGTAGATAAGTTCAAATTGAAAACAAATCTTTATTCAAACATGGATCCCAACATTTCGTCTGGAAACTTGATTACAACAAGGATTCATCTATTCAATAGATGTATATGTTTCTATTTATGTCCTGGACATTGGGATCATAGAGTTAAGAATGTACAATCCTTAGTCAATATTTAGGTGAAAGTTCTTAGGGGATATTATGTCTGAGTTAAGTTTTCAGGAGCAGCAACTGTTGGCTAAGGTAAGAATGGGAGAAAGTTATCATTTGAGGAACAAAATATGCAAAGAGATAGAATTACAAAATACCATGGTACACTTGGCAACTCTAGAAAGTTTAATATGGCAGAAATGGAGTTCATCTTCAGAAGAGAAAGGAGAAAGCAAAGGTTGGCAACGAATAACTCGATGATAATTGATGAAGAAACTCTATGTAATTCTTGGGCTTGGAAAAGAAGAATCACTAGAACACTTACAAAATGTATTTTCACGACAAATAAAAAATTTGTATAGATTGATCATTGACTTTTTCAGCAGCAAATCAGAGAACCCGAGAATTTTCTTCCTTTCTCTTCAGGCAGACAATAACGGATGTTTCACACAAGTCATTAAGACTAGCATGTTTCAGCTGAGACAAAGAGGGTATGACATGTCAATACAAGTGGAAGCCAAGGTCAAAGAGGAGGGGACAGGTCTGTATTATTTTTAAATATTTTAAATTCAATACACATTTATTGAACTTCCATTTCATGCATAACACTCTATAGTTTCTGGGGACTGTGAAAATAACATGGTCCCTGTCCTCAAGGACTTAAATGTCTAAAAATAGAAATTAAATGTGTGTGTGTACATAACCATAATAAGATTTCTGCAAGAAGTGTACAAATAAGAGTCCAATGGGTATGAGGAGAGGTAATTAATTATAAACTACAACCAGAAAAAAACCTTATAAATAAAGAAGCATTGCAACTGATTTACCTAGATTTAGTAGTTTTTTGAAAGATTAGTGATGGAAAGGGAAAAAAGAATCTGAAAATGTAGGCCAGTGCTAAAGTATAGAGAAAAGTAAATTTGAGTTTAGATTTTATTCTGAAAAGTATGGACTATCTTCAGATATATTTGAGGAGAATGACTAAACAAACTAATATATCTGAAAAGATAATTCTAGCAGACTTGAAGAGGATAGACTAGATGAAGAACATGTTACAACGTGATTATTCAAAGATGGCTCCAAATATTCTACATTTGGAGCCTAGGAAATGAAAATGCCACTTACTAAGATAAAAAGCAGATTTAAAAAAGCTATTGTGATGAGATGTGTCAAAGATAATTAATTATAACTTGGGATATTAGAATGAAAGTAGATATATTCAGCAGATCATTTAAAAAGAGAGCAAGAGGAAAATCAGAACCAAAGATATAAATCTGAAGCCATTCCCATTGTGTCTACATCCTCTTAAAAAGTGAATGCAAATGCTTTGAAAGTGAGCTCATTAAACACTGCTAAAATTAAAAGAGAGACAGTACAAAGTGGGGTCCCAGGACAGACACAACTACATTTAGGAGATAGATAATAACAAATAAGTCAGCATAATAAAATTAGAAGTCATAAGCCTAGAGGCAAAATAAAAGAGTACAATTTTTTAGAAGCCACTGGAAGAAAGAGTTTCAGTGGTACTTAACTATGAAGTACTATTGAGGGCTCATAAATGATAAAGTCTGAGATGAGAATTCCACATGGAGGGCAAGGAAGGGATCTTTCAGACTTTGACAGTGTGGTATTTTAGATGACAAGAACAAAATACAGATTACATGTTACTGAATGGAAAAGCACCAGATGTGACTAACCTTTAGAAAGGTCACACAGTGAAAAAGAAGGTCTTGCCGGGAAGTAGTTTGTAACAGAAATTTAAGCACGGTTACAGACTAACGTAAATGTGAAGAATCTAATTGTATACAGGGACGTGAGAGTGACAGAATCAAAGATGGAGCAAGATCATAGAGGAGATGAGTACTTAATCAAGATCATAGGTGGAAAAGTAGGATACTTGCAAAATTGGAAGAATCAGGGGTTATGAATACCAAAAATATTTTTACATGAAGGTGAAGCTAATGTCAAATTGTTTGTCAAATAGCTTCTGTCTTCCAAGTGTGTGAAATTCTGGAAAGAATACAAAAACAGATGTATACAGTATTTTGTTATGATGAAGTGAAGCTGGGGTGGAGTTAAAAGGTGAATTTTGAATGCATAGAACCATACGGCTTTATTTTTTTTTTCTTTTTCAGGGTTGGAATTAACTGGACGTGGATCAAGTTCTATCACAAATACCTTAAGCAAAGTGCGATTTACTAAAGTAGACTCACATTACAGACGTGGACTCCCTTTTTTTGGGCAGGTAAGCTATCTTTTCAACACAATCATAATTTAGGGCATGAGCTTTTAAGAAAAATTCTAAAAACACCAAATTAAACCCTATTATAAAAATATTCCAAATAAGAAAGGAAAATTATAGCAAATTAGAAATGTAAAGAGCAAATATAATCCCCAAATCCAGAAAAAGAAAGCACAATTCTTATTCATTAATGTCCTAACAGACCTCTACAATACATTTTTCCTGTGTGGTTTGGCTGCATACTTTTTTATTGCCTCTTTATAAATAATAATATTTTAAAATCATTTTTATGGAAAGAACAAAAATATACTATTTCATCTACTTGGTTGATTTTTTAATTACTGATAGCTTTTTAAAAGATTTTTTAGCTTCAAAGCTCAATATTGGTATATCAATATTGGTAAATTTTTAGAAATGTTAATTCAATATAGTACAACTATCAATTTTCTTTCATATAAGAGATAGAAGGTATTCATATAAAAGATATAAAGATATAAGGTATAAGGCATTTTAAATTTTCTTGTGAAGTAACTAATCTTGGAATTAGCAGTTTGTGGGCAAAATTTTCATTTTATAGTTGATATTTGAATTTTGTAGTTTATTTCATTATTTCATATCAAATTGGCAAGAAATTAATAAACATATAGATCTAGTTTGGCAAAGTCATTTCAGGTAGGAATAGGATCATTCCAGGTAGGGAGATAATTAATATATCTGTTACCTCACTTGCTTATCATTTTTTTCTCATGAGACATTTAAAATTTACTCCCTAAAGTTATTTTGAAACATACATTTTTATTGACTATAGTGACCCTGTGGTGCAATAGTTCTCAACATCTTTCATATATATATATATATATATATATATATATATATATATATATCTTATGGGCACTCAAATTGAGAATATCCAAAAGTAAGATCATTATGCTACCTTCCCAAATTTTCTTCATCTCTGGTGTTCTCTATTTCAGTATATGGTTCTTCTATCTATCTCATATAGTTGATCATGAGAAAATCAGTAACTTAAAGGATGAGTATGGCTTGGCAAGAAAATTAAGATATTTGCAAGAAAATTAAGATATTTCAAGAGCAAAGAACCAGTGGCGCAGGCCTGTAATCCCAGCACTCTGAGAGGCAAAGTGAATCATTTGCGACCAGGTGTTTGAGACCAGCCCGGGTAATGTAGTGAGCCCCAGGATCTACCAAAACAAAAAACAAAAAAAACAGCTACTTTAGAGGCAGGGGCAAAAGAATCAGTTGAGCCCAGGAATTCGATAGTAGCAAGGTTGCAGTGAGCTTTTTAATCACACCAAGGCACGCCAGCCCAGGCAACAGAGTCAGACCCTGTCTCTAAAATAAAATAAAAATAAAAATGTAGCCAGCATGATGGCAACTGAGATAGCTAAGATAGAAGATACAATTAATTTGACTGAATAGTTGTAGGCAAGCTGGAGCAATTCCTAAGAGTCTTTAAGGATATGGTAATAATTTTGTATTAAGAAGTGACTGTAAGAGAATAATGATCAGATTAGCTCAGACTGCATAGAGAAAGTCTTGGAACAAGGGTGAAGCAGCTAGAGAACAGACTGCAGAAAATTAAATAGCAAGCTATTGGAAACCAAATGGAAAAGAAATATTGTGGTTAACTAGAATAGTAGCAGTGAATTTGGAGAGAAGTATATTGAATTGAGATGTATTTAACAGGGAATGAGAGTGGGGAGTGGGAGAAAGATGGCACTTGACAATGACTTAGAGACAGGCAGTGAAAGAAACAGACTTAAAAAAAAAACTTCAGTGTTCGTGCATCAACTATAAGATAGATAGAAGAACCATATATTGAAATAGAGAACACAAGAGATGAAGAAAATTTGGGAAGGTGACACGATGATCTCACTTTTGGGTATTCTCAGTTTGAGTGCCCGTAAGTTATCCAATATATACTCATATATAGAAAAGATGTTGAGATCTATTGCACCACAGAGTCACTATAGTCAATAATAATGTATGTTTCAAAATAATTTTAGGTATGCCTCATGAGAAAAAAATGATAAGCAAGTAAGGTGACAGATATGTTAATTATCTATATTTAATTATTCCACATAATGTATGTATATCAGAATATCACATTGTACCCCAGAAATGAATACTCTTATTTCTCAATTAAAAATAACAATAGGAAGTAAATAAGTAGCTATTCAACCTTCAAAATTATTTATAAAAGAAATATTGAAAAGAAATATTATGTATTAGAGCTCAGAAGACATGTCTTTTTTTTCAGATTCTAAGATTCAGTAAATGACAGGCAATGTCCTAGAGATAAATAAAAAAGTGAATATGACAGAGTAGAAGCCTATGGCTGTATGTCATTTTAACCAAATACGACTTTAATATTTCCAGGTTCTTTTAGTTGATGGGAGGAATCAGCCAATGTCCAACAAAACTTTAGTTATCAGTGTGGGTGCTGTATACAATTCCCGTGTTACTACCAATGAGCATGGTTTAGCAGACATTTCCATCGACACCACCAACCTTATATCTTCTCTCATTGCAGTTACAGTAAGTGGAAAGGGGCAGCTGGGACTGAAAGAACAGAGATCACTGGGGTCATGAAATTTAAGAATATATAATTTTATGAACTCTAGAAAGATGGTAAAGATTTTAAAATGATAAAGAGTAAAAGCAATGTGGAAAAATAAATTATAAAAAACAGAAAATTCTTTGTCAGAATATTCTTACTTTTAGATAGACTGTGGACAAAATGATTTAGTTTCAGGAAACATTGATTAGGTCATCTTGGTATTCCCTTGAAAAATTTGATATTTTCATAATTCTACCACAAGTAAGATTTTGCTTGGTTTATTTGACATATTACCACTTGTGTTTTGTGTTTAGTATTCAAATGTTCTTATGTGATATACAGTCATAAGAAAAATTTTTAAAGTAATTTATCTTGTCTGTGAATGAATAGTGTCTACTAAATCAGTACAGCATAAGTTTAAACGATCTTAAGGAGAAGCTATTTATAGATTATTTTGTATTTAAGAAAATACAGTCTTCTTACATGGCTTCACTGTATTATCATATATGTAAATAAATTGTCTATTTATTCTTTCACTAGGCCACTTACAAGCATAATCACTTCTGCCATGATAACTGGTGGCTTGATGAATTTCATACAGAAGCATATCACAGTGCAAAGCACATTTTTTCCCCAAGTAAGAGTTATGTTCACCTCAAACCTATTGTTGGTACTGTGACCTGTGGGCAAACCCAGGAGATCCAAGCACACTATATCCTGAATGAGCAGATTCTGAAGAATGAAAAGGAATTAACCTTCTATTATTTGGTAAGATTAAGAGCCACTGTAGCTCCTTCTAATTGTATAGACTCCAAAATTGTTGGGTTCTGGTCTAACTAATGCCTTTTAAAAGACACCTCTTATCAACAACGGTGCCTGAATGAAGCATATTTGTATAACCTAACCCTTAACTGTACCCCACAATAGCATAATACAAAATATTGATAAATAAATAATAAAATAAAGAAAAAAAAAGATATCAATATTAACATAATTTTTGTTGTGTCTACGTTTGAAGAGAAATTATACTAACAAATATTAGTGTTTTAATTTCTTACTTATGCTCTGGTTACCTCTGGAACTCTTGCTTTTTGTTTTTTATTTTCTTGCTGAGTTCCAATGGCAAATAATTGAGTGGGAGAGGAAAGACCTATGATGAAAGCTTTGTTAGTCAAAGAGAATGTTTTCCTTAGAGCTCAGTAGATAAACAAGCTAAAGATAAGAACCAATAACTTATTCAAAAGGAATTAAAGGTTAAAAACAATCTTCTGGGAAAATATTCAGTTCTAAGTAATTTACAAAGCTCATGACTGATGTAATTGCAGGAGAACAGGATATTAACAGGCAGGCTATACATCAGTGTGACACTTCTGAGGCAAATATACTTATGCATGTCCCTAAATTAAAAATGTCCAAACCTGGTAGTTACACAAATAATCATTTTGAGAAGAAAAAGTCAAATGTAAGAAATTCTATATAGGAGTATTAACTATAAAGAATATTTCCTTAGTGCTATGAAAAAATAAAAAAATTAATAATACATTAGAATTTCAGTTTTATTGCATCCTAGTTACATGACCTTGAGTAATTTACCTAATTTCACCTAAAAAAGAAATGTCATTTATCTCACCTAAATCCTGAAGATAATATTAATACCTACTTTAAAAAATTTTAGTGGAAGTTAAATAATGAAATTAAAATTAAATTATGGCCCATACTGCCTAACACATAGAGAATGCTCAATATATTTAGTGTTTTTTTTTTAAATCAAGGCAACAATAGAGAATAATTATATATATTTTACATCTGCTTTCACTATATAATGTCTTGCATATAATGATGCTTAAAATATTGTTGAAACAATATATACATTTTAAATAGTAATATTTAATAGCTATAATAAGTGTTATGTAGTAAAACTAGTAAAATTATGTATTTGTTATTGAAAGCATGTAAATGCACATATATAAAAATACTGAAATAAAAATTTAGTGATCAAAAATAACCTCTGGGTTGAAGTAGTAATATTATTTTTTATTTATACATTAAGAACATTTTTAAGTAAGGTTAGTATGTATACGTCAAAGCAATAATAAATATATTTCCCTCTGTCTTCAGGTCAAAGCAAGAGGAAGCATTTCCCAATCAGGAATCTACGTGTTGTCCCTTGAACAAGGAAACAGTAAGTATTATTAAGACTTTCCTTTTATCTCTGTTCATCCTATCAAATTCTGACCAACTTAGCAAGTTAGCGCTATTTTCACACTAGAGGAAATGGTCACCAACCTTCTGTAATACAAAAATGAAGAAGCTGATGTAATAGGATGGTATACTAGGTTAACTTTAGCCCGTTTAATTTGTTTTTTTAATAATATTTTTATCTTTTAAATTTTTTTCTAAAGTAATGCACATTCATTTTATAACTAAATGTGCTTAAAAGGAAAAAATAACTGAAAATTTCATAAAATAAAGAAAAATGTTACTTTTTATGTTTGTGTATTTGTTTCCTGTTGCTACTAAATAGATGATCATAAAATTTACTCGTTTAAAGCAACACAACTTTATTATCTTACAGTTCTGTAAGTTGGACGTCTAAAATCAAAGTGTCAGCAGGAATGCATTTTTTCAGGAGCTTTATGGGATATTCTTGCTTCTTTTCCTTTTCCAGCATCTAAAGGCCTCTTGCATTCCTTGATTTGTGATTCCTTTATCTTCAAATTCAGTCATTTGTCATTTTTTCTCACTTTCCTGTCTCTCTCAAAGATCCTTGTGATTACGTTGGGCCCACCTGAATAATCGAGGGGATATTCTTCACATCTCAAGATCCTTAAGTCTCCACTCTTGAAATCTTCCTTTCTTTTTCTTAAAGAAAGTGTTTGCAACTGAATTATTTTATCAAAGCTTGTTTCCTACCTGTATAATTTGAGGGATCTGACATTTTTCTTTCACTTTATGGTCTCTCTGCTCCTTTTGGTCCAAGCTGACAGTGATTCTGTTAGTATAAAATTTTCAAGAACCATATAGATTTCCTGTACGTCACAGGGATTTATTCCATTAAACACAAAGTTTTCCACAGATCTTTTTTGGATAATCCTATCTCCTATTTTGCATTTTGCTGAGATGGATAAGAGAATCTATAAGTCATACACTTCATCTCTTCAGAGTCTTTTTTGGTGACTGAATGATAAACCTTTAGCAAAAAGCTGTCCAATTAGATTCTGGCTTTTTCTCTAGGGTACACATTCCTGACAGTGACTATCTTAATTGTACAGCCTTGCATTATGGATAATCTGAGAATTTTCTAAATTATCAAATTCTGATACATTTTTGATGAACACTTCTTCCTTCAATTTATCTTTTTCCTCTCCAACTTTACTATAAGCAGCAAGAAGAAACCAGGCTGAACTGCTAATACTTTCTTTTTAAAACTTCTCACTAAATATCTGAGTTCATTGTTTACAAGATTTGCTTTCCACATAATTGCAGGACAAAATTCAGCTAAACTTTCTGCCATTATATAACAAAAATCTCCTTCCCTCCAGTTTCCTCTAGAGCTCTCATTGACAATATTTTATTTATTATTATTTTTTATTTTAAAGATGTGGGGCATAATTCAGGATTAGATATACAAGTGGTCATCGTACAGGTAAAGTTTGGGCCTCCCTTTGGTCCCCACTTTGCCTGGTTTGAGAGCAGGTACCCTTACTGATGTTATGCCTCCCCCGCCTCCTCCCCACCCCGGCAGTATCCCACTACTGCCAATCCCTTTCTTACAGTATTATGGTAAATGTTCAGGGTTTACTATGAGTGAGAACATGCGGTACTATATTCTTTGTTTCTGTGATAGATCACTGAGTATGATAGAATAATACTTTCAGTGTTTTTATTTTTGCTAACAGTCATGTGTTATAACAGTCATAATGACAATACATGCCTTCTTCACCATGCTTCACGCTTTGAGTCCTTTCTAGCAAATTTTTAGCATCTTCAATTCTACTAACAGTATGTTGATAGCAATTTAATTTTTTTCTCTTCATACTCTTCAAAATTCTTCCAGACTCTTTTTATTGCCCAATTCCAAAATCATTTCCACATTTTCAGATGTTTGTTATAGCAGCACTTCATTTCCAGGTCCCAAAATCTGTATTAGTTTTCAAGTCATGGTTCCATAAATTATTTAAAAATTAGGCTCTTGGTTTGATAATGTTTTGCACCCAAATTTTTATTGAATTATCAGTACTTCAAAAATTTTTCTACAACCCAGTTTTATTTGCTGCAAAATGTTCTATCAATTCTAACTCATAAGTGTAGTCCCCGTCACTGTGTACTATCTTTGGATATCTAGATTAAATGATGACTAAAACCTCAATAAACTCTTTGTTTAACTCCTAAAATAAATGCTTGCCCATGCTTTCGGGATTTTTTGTTTGTTTGTTTGTTTGAGTTGGAGTCTCACTCCATCACCCAGCCTGGAATGCAGTGGCATGCTCACGACCACTGCAGCCTCGGCCTGCTGGGCTCCGGTGAGCCTTCGACCTCAGTCTTCCAAGTAGCCGGAACTACAGGCATGTACTACCATGCCCGGCTAATTTTTTTTTTTTTAATTATTGTAGAGGGGAGGTCTCATCAAGTTGCCCAGGCTGATCTCGAACGTGCGAACTCAGGCAATCTACTCACCTCAGCCTCCCAAAGTGCTAGGATTACAGGTTGAGCCACCAAGCCTGGCCTACCCATGCTTTCTTTGGGGTTTTCTTCTTGCATTTCTTTACTTTATTCTTTTTAACAGTTTTATTCTGTATATGTTAAGATGATCTTTTTTCTTTTGTGGTTTGTTTACTCCTTGAGTGATTTTTGGTAGTGTGTGTCATTCATAACCTTGTCTATTTTTTCAAATTGTCTAATTTATTGACATAAAATAGTTTATATTTTTATAGCTTCTAAAAACCTGTACTATCTGTTGTAATAGCATCTCTTTCATTCAAGATACTTGTAATTTATGTCTTCTCTTGATCAGTTTAGCTAGAAGCTTACCAATTATATTGATCTTTTCAAACAACTCATTTTTAATTAATTTTTTATTTTTATGTCATTGATAGCCACTGATCATTATCAATTACTTCTTCTGCTTATTTTGTGTTTAATTTACTGTTCGTTTTATAGTTTCTTCATGAGAACGCAGAGATCTTTGATTGAGATCTTTCTTCTACTATGAGTTTAGTGTTTTATATTGCTTTAGCTGCATCCATAAATATTCACATGTGATACTTTCATTTTGATTTAATTCAACATATTTTTTACTTTCCATTTTGATTTTTACTTTGGACCATGGGTTATTTAGAAGTGTGTTATTTTGTTTCTAAACATGATTTTTTTTTTTTTTTAGAGATCTTCTAGTTATTGCTTTCTAACTTGACTTCATCGTGGTTGCATGACTTTATTTTAAATTTAAGAAAACATATTTTACAACCCAGAATATTACTTATCTTGTTAAATATTAGAATGTGTATCCTGCTGCTGTTAAACGATGTGTTCTGTAAATGTTACTTAAGTCAAGTTGGTTGATAAAATGTCTATATCTCAGATATATACTTTCCTTCTCATTTTCCTTGAATCATAAACATTCATTAATCCCTGTTATTCTAGGAAAAATGATTAGCTTTTCATAAAAAGATATGTTCAAAAATTTTTTTGGCAACTATATACTATTTACTTGCTGGACTATTTATTTGTTACATATCATCTCCAAGTTAAATATCATAAGAAAGTAATAGAATTTCTTTTCTTCATTCATTTAAATATTTATGGTTTGACTAGTAACTTTTGTTAACAGACCACATTTAGAAAGACAAAATACCCATGCCTCCAAGGTAAGCTAATATATCCAGAAAAAAAATGAAGAATATATATTCTAACATTTGAAGTGTGTTTGTCTTTTATCTCAAACTATTTCTGATATTAGTACACGGCAGACAGTGGGTACATGATAAATATTTTTAAAGTAATTCATAAATCAAGAATATTTTCTTTTTGTTAACAATTTATGAAAACCAAATTGTGAAAAAGTTTTTCCATCAGAATTATATCCAAAGAGTGTCTACCTTCTTTGAAACAGGAGTTTGGGATACAAACATTAATAAAATACATTGCAGTCTCTCTAGATGCTAGAAAACTAGCATCTGAATTTCTACAGTCTAGTGGAGACACTAGATGATGTCTTTCTGTTTAAATACTTAAAAATTATACAAATCTTATTTCTTCTTAAAAATCTGAATGAAAGACCTAAATTAAAACTTAAAGGTGCTTTACTTTGCAATTGGGAAAATTGATACCTAGAAACATATCTTAACTTGTTCAACTTAGTAAAAGCTGATGTAAGAACCATTTCTTCTCAGTCTATTATACCTTGCTAGCTCATCTTTACCTCTTTTCACTTGGGAAATTCAACACAGCATCAAGCAGACATTGCACCCTAACATCTTATAGAATTTTTTAAGTGAAAACTGATTTTCAGTTAGTCATCTAACTCAACTGTTTATAACTTTCCTAGTCATATAAAGATGGATTAAAATATTCTTTTTACTTAATCATAAATTTATTTTGAATTCAAAATATTAATGAATTTGCTTGTAACTCTTTGCATATAATATTAGCCTACTATTAAATTTCTTGTAACTTTACTTCCAGATAAAAACTTTGTTCTCTTAGTCTTTTTTTAGCCAGTATGAGGTTTCCAAAGCCATTATAATGATGCAAGCCACATTCTAAAACCCTGCTCAGCTTACTTTCTTCCTTGATCTATAATATCTCTAGCTCTACAAAATCTCTAACTAGTTGCTTTCGTATTACTTTTAAAAGCACACAATTTGAATACTTTCACTCAGACAGAAAACATTGACTCTAAATTCCAATCGAATAATTAATTTTACGTGATTGGATATTATAGTGATTTTTAAGAACAGGTAAGGTTGTTTTTAATATCATGAAAAACAAACTGCCTCATCAAGTAATATCTTCAAAATTAGTTTCCATAGTAGAGTTTAAATTCCGTATGAACTGAGTACCTTGAGAGGTGGGAAGGGGAAAAGGAAGTGTCTCTGTCTTAAGACCATACTTCATTTTATTTAATTATAACTGTGCATATTATTGTTTTTTATTCATTTTGGCTGCCAGGAAACCAATGATAAATTTAAATACTCCAGTGTAATAATCATTTTGTTTCAGCTTCCTAATAAAATTAGCCTTTGTCAATATTAAACCCTGCTCCAGAAGTCCACGTTCACTAGGTTTGTCTTACTGTTTCAAATCTATTTTGACTCTGCTTTTTGGGTCTGTTTTAGCTAAAGCTGCCCTTAAATCTTTTATAGATATAGGAAAGGTATATTTTTTAAAGAATAATTTTATTCTATAAAGATCAAAGTTAGAACATTTATGAAAAAAATAAAATGGGGCCGGGCTCGGTGCCTCAGCCTGTAATCCCGCGCCTTTGGGAGGCTGAGGCGAGTGGATTGCCTGAGCCCGCGGGTTCGAGACCCGCCTGGGCAGCGAGACCTCATCTCTACAATAAATCAAAAAATCAGCCGGGCGTGGTAGCGCATGCCTGTAATTCCGGCTACTTGGAAGGCTGAGGGGAAGGATCGCCGGAGCCCAGCAGGTCGAGGCTGCGGTGGCCAGGAGCGGCCACTGCACTCCAGTCTGGGCGACAGAGTGAGACTCCAACTCAAAAAAAATAAAAAATAAAATAAAATGGGTATATTAAATTAGCGCTGTGTAGTTCACACAGAAAGCAATCACTAAGATAAATACCCATAAAATCAGAGGCTCACGATGCTTCATACGTGATTACTTGTACCTGTGTTCCTGATCTCTTATAAATGGGCTGAAAGAAAAGACGGTGTTGCATTCTTCGCATGGCCCCTACTACACACATACCAAGAATTGTGCTGGTCTGGATCTGAGAAATAATTCAAGGTGTCTAGAAGTGCTTCTCTCTCGACTGCTTTCTTCATAAATCTTTTTTTTTAATTTAGAAACATGGACATGCACTAAATGTTTTTTTCTTACTTAAGCAGAAGAAATAAACAACCTATATCTTCACGAAGAAATGTCATTAGCTAAGTATATATTTATGGAACACTACCTCGTGCATAGTCGTATTGAAGACTCAAAAGGGTGTGAGGGCGGGAGACGAGATGAAGACTAAGAAATTACTTAATGGGTCCTACGTACATTATTTGACCACAATTACACTGAAAGCCCAGACTTCACCAGTGTGCAATATTTTCATGTATCAAAACTGCACCTGTAGCCCTGTGAGATGTATCACCAAATTTTTTTTTAAAAGTGTAAGTCTTTTCTTACTTCAGTGTGCTCCAAATTTAAATAAATTAAATAATCCAAGAGCTCCCCACACCTTTTTTTATAAAATTCAGATTTCTGTCCCTAATCTACCATTCCGAACTTTTTTCCTATTCTCCAGTGAAAGGGGTATTTTCCTTCTCCCTTCAAGTGGAATCAGACTTCGCTCCTACAGCTCAGTTGTTTGTTTATACTGTTTTACCTGATGGAGAAATTGTCGCAGATACTGACAAACTCAAGATTGAAAACTGTTTTGCCAACAAGGTGGGTTGTTTTGCTTAAAGCCATTCCTTTTATTCTTCTCCCCTTTTGAAGTGTGGAAAATGAGCACGTCATCTACATCAATAACCTGCTACACAGTGTTTCTGAAACATCCCTCCCACGTACCTTCAAAAGCAGAGGGTGATGTCATCCCCTAAGAGGCCTAGTGCTGATCTCCAAAGCAGATGGTCACAAACACAATTTTTTTGTTTTATCATAAAGTTCATATGAATTTCAAAACCGATTCCACTCTAAACCTTTAGTAGTTTTCATTTTTAAATGTTTTGTTACCAAAATTTTTAATTAAAAATGATGCTTCACGAGGCTGTGTCAACTCTATCCCATCAGACCCCTGGCACATCACCGTGTACCACTGCAGAAACCAGTAAGTTGTCGTGAGTTTAAGTTCAGGGGTGTATGTATGTCTCCTGTTTTGAGAAACAGCCTGGGCTTTCGAATAATGATTATAGCATTCTTAAAAAATCTAAAATAAGTGAAGGTGGGATATTTTTTATTTCTTGGGAATACAAACTGCAATGTGAACTGACATAGAAATAAGTTTTATCTCAACAGAATTTGATGCTGCTTATCTGATTTTTACTACCCTGGCAGCATAATCTTAACATTAATAATCAGATAAGATCCATCTACTTCATATGGCTCTTTTAAAATAAATATACTGAGAAAGATTCATTAACATGGACTTTGTGGAGATTACAACAATGTTTGTTTATAGCAAGTGAACATTTCTGCCACGAGAAATATTTTTAGATTATCTTTTTAAAGTATATCATAAGATAAGAAAAATACACAATGATTCTGATAAAAATCTTCAATTTCATTTAACGAAAGAATGCTATTAAACCTGGATGATATGTCCAAGAGCACAGTGTCTGTTCTGCATGGATCGTCTATGTGTGTCATATCGACTGAGGAGAGACCCCTGCTTCATGCTTCAGTGCCCTTACTGTTAGCCATGGGTAGTTATTCTTAAATCTTGGAATGCCCATATCACACTACAGCTTTGCACACACCATATTTGTCCTAGCAGCAGAATAGCTTTCTCTTTCTTGTGGTTCAGAAGTTTCTTTATACTCTGGAAATGAGAGGCATTATGAAACATAATTAGCAGAAGACTAATTTTTTTTCCTCACCATCCAATCTGAAAACATTCCTGATTCTGCAAAGCATATGGCTTCCTATGTAACACCATAAAACTTCATCAGAGAAGCAAAAGCCCATGGATATTACTTTCAGTCACTTTCTGACAAACACTTTTTAACTCATCACTGAGTGGAGGTCAAGATAACTTATAAAACACAATATGAACCTCGATTTATAAGAAGATTGAGAAGAAAGCATACTACCACAAAAAATTAGAAAAAAGTAGATCAATTACAGTCACAAATTATGGATCCTAGAAGTTAGGCAACCTGAAAGGATGATGGGCAAACAGAATAGATATGCTCTGAGGATGTGAGGAAAGATCAAGTCAGCTCAAGATATGCGTCCCTTTAAAAAGATACATTTTAAATATTTTTTCAATCTTTTTTGAGAAAGAAAACCTGTTTTATATTTAAAATTCATATAATTCTTAATTTTAAAATAAAAGATCCCATGTACACATTGAATATTATGTAATGGTTTAAATTACTTGTCTGTGGTATTCAACTGGATATATTTATTCATTCAGAATAACATTGATTAATATAGGTAGGTACAGACTCCTTCGAAATATGCCTTGAAGTTCAGTTTTGGTTTTCATAACAAGAGAAAATTTAATATTTTTTAACATGTCCTCTTCATGTTAATAGTATTAATTGTGGTTAATAATATTTTTAGTTGGTTATAATTCCAAATAACTTACTTGTTCTCAAACATATTTTACTGAATTTAAATTTTCTGAAAATAAAAGCAAACATGTTTAAAATAGAATTCTCCATAAGCAGTGTTTTCATCATATGTTGAATAAGAGAGATAAACACTACTGCATCATGAGAATAAATTAAACACACACACACACACACACACACACACACACACACACACACACACACACACACGCACACAATGATACATCATTCCAAACTGCTACATTATTTCAGTAGACCACAAAACAAGATTATCATAGCTAAATCCAGCAATTCAAGTCAAATGTTATTTAAATAAACATGCTGATACTTTGTTCCAATCCAAATCAGTTTTCAACCCTGAAACTATAAAGTTACCTGATACTATTACTGTATAACTTTATAGCTCAGATTCTACTCAAGAAAAGTCTACATCAATAGAAGGAATGAATAGATACACTTACCAATGACTTTTTATTGGTCAAAGAAGAATTAAATCTCTGAAAAATTCTGCACAATTTTTCATTGTTCTGTTGTTCTTTATTCATTATTCTTTAAATTTTTTCAACTCTCAGCTCTTAGGATGCATAAGAGATGTTTAATTTTTGAAATGACCCAATACATCCCCAATCATGACAAATAGCACCACACTGCTTTAGAATTTCAGATAACTAAGACTGACAACTGAAGGATACTTCAGTTGGCTGGTCTCAGGGGTGGAGTATGATTTCGTATGACATCATGCAAACTATGCACAGTCATCACAAAAACACCACACAGAAATAGGTCAGCTACAACAAGGTATGAGTCTTTCTTGTTTGTATATTTCCAATCCCATTTAGGATTCTATTTAAATGTGATCAAAACAACTTAGGTTTCACCCATTATATAAGGGTGGAAGACCTGAGTTAACCGAAACCACATTTCCAGGTTATTTAGGGACGTTCAGTTGGTAGTTCCTAGGCTGTTCACCTCTTAATCCTGTTCTAAGATAGATAAAAAGAAAGGAGGTATTAAGATTAGTCTTAGCCTGGAGTAGAGAGGTTTGAGTCTGTAATAATTATAAAAGTTGCTGCTGTAATCATGTCCTTTTTTACAGGTACATTTGAGGTTCTCCTCAGCCCAGAGTCTGCCAGCCTCAGACAACCACCTGCAAGTCACAGCCTCTCCTCTCTCCCTCTGTGCCCTCCGTGCAGTAGACCAGAGTGTCCTTCTAATGAAGCCTGAAGCCGAGCTGTCGCCTCAGTCAGTGAGTCTCATTTCAATCTTGGAAATCAAAAAATACTCACATGATAAGACCATATTTGGAAATTAGAAGTTATAACTGCAAAGGACAAACTCTTCAGAGTGACAGACATAGTGTGATTCTACAACAAACAGAAATGACACAAAGTACTTTGCACATATAATCTCATTTTATTCTTCGTTTTATTCTCAGTGAGGGAGGAATCTTGCTTGCCACTACATTCCCGTGCTGAGCACAGAAACTTACATAACAGGTGCTCAACACATTTTTATTCAGTCAATATATGAATAATGATTATTGGAAGTGGATCTTATTACCTTCACTTTATGAATGAAAAAACACATCTAGGATATATGAAATAACTGTGGAGACAGCATGCCAGAAATATATTTTAGAGGTGGAATTTGAGTCAAATTTCTTCCAATGCCATTTTCTAACCTGCCTCATTTCAAGCTATTATGCAAATTTACAGATTTTGTATGCTTCCCCTAAAATCCACTGATTTTAAGTGCGGATAAAAGAAGGCTTCCATTCAAACTTGTCTTCAAAAATGTGTCTTATAGGGAAGTACAAAAAGTTCTTACAAAAAGGTCCTATAGTTTGCTAGCTTCATGATCCACTTATTTCTTTATTTATTTATTGCATGTTGGCTACAGGACAGACACTGTACTGAGACCAGGACAGGATAATTAATAATGAACAAACAGATTTGGTATTGGACCAATTTAAACCTATAATTCTGTGAGCTATCAAAACAAGCAAGCAACAAAAACATATAATTCCTGATTCTGATAACTACGATAAAAAATAAACAGGATATTGATTTCAAGAATAAAGAAGCTGAGCAATTTTTGAAATCATGGTTATAGGGAGTCCTCTTCGACTGGAGGGCAATAGAGGGCAGGGACAGGCATTACAAAGAATGGAAGCAGCACACCCAAAGGTTTTGAGGTCAGATGAGTTTAGGGTATTCTAGAAAGGAAAAGGTAATAATCTATAATGTAGTGGTAAGAGAGGAGGAAGGTTGAGGCCACAGGTGGAATAGAAAACTGGGAAGATATGACAAACTCTCATCTCTTGATGTAGAGTTTGGAGTTGACAGCAAATGCAGTCAGTGTTGGATCACTGAGGAGCTTTAAGGAGGAGAGAGGACAATAAAGATTGACCTATTAAGAAGACTGTGTGTGCTGCTGAGCGTATGGGAGCAAGAATAAAAGCATAAGAACAGATAAGAGGTTATTAGAGTAGCCCAGATGAGAAACAACTGCATCCGATTAGGAGGTGTGCAGAGAGCCTTGCCTGTTTGATGACCTGAACACTACATACCTGAGCAGGTTCCCTTGTACTAGCATCTGGGCAAAACTGGACTGTAGTTGATTTATTTCTCAGTTCGCCCTGTGCCTAGTTTTTTCTCAAACTAAACTTGGTTCTAACATAGTAGACTAAAAAGAAAGCTTGGCCAGATCTTAATCATACAAAAAATGGAGAAAGGAAATGAATCCGATATTTACAGAGGTTATTTCTAGGTCATGAAACTGCGGACGACTTCTGTTACACATCTCTGTGATGTCCACATTTCCTGCTTCCTTTTAAAAGTAGGCATTTGGTTTAGGAGACGAAGACTTGGGTTTTATTTTTACTCGGCCACAATGAATTCTGAGATTTTTGATAAATTTATTTTCTCTCTCTCTCTCTCTCTCTCTCTTACTTTCGTTGATACAACAAGGGGATTAGGATCCATGATCTTTAATATCTCTCCATGCTTCTCTGTCTTTTTAATCACGTAAGTATGGATTGTTGAATGAACGTCACGATCTTTTAAATCCTCTGTTGGACATGATCGCTTTCAAATTTTATTTGCAAAAGAGCTTTTCCTCGTTTTCTCGATTGTACAGGTCTATAAATTGCTACCAGTAAAGACCCTCCCGAGTATTCGATATGGAGGTCAGATGAATGAAGATGGCGAAAAATGCATCAGTGTAGACGACATCACTCACAATGGCCTTGTCTATGCGCCAAAGCACAACCTGGATGATGACGATGCTGCCAGTATCTTTGAGGTAATTATTGTTCCTAAAAGCATAGCCAAAAGTAATTTCTCAGCTTCTGTTAAGATCGAGAAATAACGGGCTTCTGAGCTGTAGGATATGATCTTCCCTTTCCCTCAATAAAACAAGGAGTGGTAGAAACTATTGTGACCTCAGAGGTATAGAGAATTATACATGCAAAAAGATATTCACACACGAACTTACCTGGCACTATAAGCAGCAGATGGTTTACTTTCAGTCCCCAAAACATTGACCAAATTGACCCCAAAGCTACTCACCCTCACCACATTTCGCTCTCAGTGACTTGCAGAGATCCTAAAATGTGAGAAAAAATATTTTTTCGTAGTACGGCTGACACCCTTGGAAAGGTGAGTACCCTGTTGGCATCCTCTCGGTCATGTGCACAATAGATACTTGTTGAATGAGCACGTAATAGAATCCATAAAGTGCAATATATGAGCCCGCGCTAATTTTACAGGGCCGTACAATTTCATGAAAACTAAAAGTAGCCTTTCACTAAGAAATGATTCATAAAATTTGTATTAGAAAGGCTAGGATGTTTTAAAGATATGACTCTTCGGGATGAGCTATGCCTGAACAGAGTCATAAAAGGGGAGTTTATCAAGGTTGTGAAATTAAATCTTATCACTATCAAAAGAACTAAAACTTTCATCACACTCTGTGGAACACATACATCATTCTTCTGACAGAGGTGTGCCGCTTAGCCGAGAGCAACTTAGATTTCTTTCTTCTGGAGCCTCCAGAATTATAAACCAAGTGGTGGAGGCTGGAAAGGACATTTCTTGAAATTGTACTGCCCTGTTAAAATAGTGAGGGCTCAAGTATTGCACTTTACATATTCAATTAGGTGTTCATTCAACAAGTATTTATTGTGCAAGTGACTGAGAGGATGGCTGCCAACAAGGTACTCGCCTTTTCAAGGGTCTCAGACACACGATGAAAAATATATTAAGTTAATTAAGGAGCTAATTAATCTCTAAACATTCATGTCTCTCTTCGCCCTATCCCATGTCACAATCACCACTGACAACTGTGTTCAAGAGTCTCACCATGACCCACATAACTCTGAGATAAGACAGCAATAAGATAAGGAGTATTTATCTGTGAATACTATTGAAGAAAATGAAAACAGATAGTCTCTGGGAGTCAGACTCCCCCGTAGGCATCTGCAAGTAGGCTTGGGATGCAGACATTCGAGGCAGTTAAAAGAAACTGAGAAAGAAAAGAGGAAAGGACACATCACAAAAGGGATGAGTTGAGCACAGATATTCAGGGAAAGGGAAATCTGCTGATAAAGCAAACAAAACAGAGTCTGCTAGGATTGTAAATGAAATTCCCCATATGCAACCCTACAATTTAAAACGGCAAGAGGCCAACAAAAAATACTCTCTGCAACAAAGCCATAAAGAGCTCTGTCTATATGTACCTATATTTGTTTCATAAGAAAAGAAAACATCTGAAGCGAAAATACTCAGTGTTCCGGATAAAAGATCATAATTCAAGAAGTATCAGGTATATCAGATGTATTTGAAGCCCAATTATCAACTGGATGATCTTGACCTTCTGTGACTCTGTTTTCATATTTATAAATTCGCTCTCCTCCTTATTGTATGAAATGTTTATGATAATCCTATGAGCTGTGTGTAAAATAAGAAAGTGCAATACAAATAAAAAATAAATAAATTCCAGCCTCAAGATCAGATGACCACTATGCTCTAACAATTACTATAATTTATTTTTCTTTCAGTCTGCAGAATTAAATATTTTTACCAACTCAAAAATTCATAAGCCATTTTTTTGTCCTCTGCCTCAACCATATCCAGAAGTGCCTGTAGCCTTTGCAGGAGGTAAGAGTGTGATTTATTGGTCTAACAGAATTATGGAAGACAAATGGTGTTTTATTGGGTGGGGTTAAGGTAAAAAGTTATTTTTTTTCTATGTATTGTATCTTGTGATGTTGCAGCAACTTCTTGCTAAGTTATTCTTTAACAATATTTCTTCCTCAAAAACAGGATTTTTAAGCAATTGTTGTTATTCTCTCTGACATAAAAATGAAAACTACCTTTTTGTCCTAGCCTTCGTCTTGCTACTTCAGATCCTCTTCATTCACTGTGGATTTAATACTTACATTAGTCAGAATTAGATAGAGTATATTGCAGTAACAAACCTCCACATCTCAGTTGCTAAGCATGCAACTGTGATATAAGTTATATAGTACATAGTATATAATGTGCATATATATACAGTATAACAAGTTATATCACAGCTGTATAACAAGCTACAGTACCTCTTCAGAACAACTCTTTGTAAAACAGTAAGTCAAGAAGAAATAGTCTGCTTTTCTCAGGTGACTCCACCATCTCTACCATGACTTTCAGGTTCATAACCATGGGGACTAAAGAGCCTGTCTGCACGTGATTTTTACGGACAGAAGTGGGAATGGCATAGATCACGTCTGCCCATATTCCTGCTCTAACTGAAAGGGAGGCTGAGAAAAGGGAAGGACCATATGGTTATTAACTGCCTCTGCCATACGTTTTTATTGAAATCCCAGTGATTTTTTGCAATTCTGAAAAAAATAGGATAATTCAACTTTGGGCAGATGTATGACTAAGTAGTCTCTTTGTGTGTTTCAAGTGTACCTGGAAATGAAGAAAAGTTGAAAGGATTCTAACTCTGAGTATTATTTTCTATGGCTATCAAGGCTAGAGAAATTTCTCCCTGCATGCTTGAATGTCTGCTAAACATACTTTCTAATGAAAAATTAGGGTGGCAGCATAAGGTTTAATTTTGAAGAACAAACACATTTTAATATAGTAGATAATTTTCCTGGGAAGACAAGGGTAAAGTTCTAATTGAAAACAAAAGAATGTTTAACAAATTACCTCAACAACATCACCACCAACAAAAGAACACTGTTTTAAGATCAAAAAGAAAATTTCTCATCACACCCCTATCTAATCTATGTGACTTTTAAAATTTTGGAGACTCAATTTCAACCTTTTGGATTCTCGATTTCTGTATATCTGAAGTCAGAATGACAACACCAAACTCCCTGAGGCATTGTGAACATAAAATTTGCAAATCTAATTATGATTCAATGTAATAGCAAGTTTTTGTTTTAAAAAACTGAAAAGCATGATTAATTGATTTTTGTATTTTTTACCAAATGTATATTTTCCTTCCAACCCCAAGACAAAACGGATCAATGGAAGGATCCAGAAAACCTGAAAACTAAGTGTCATCATTACCATCTTATCCAAATATTTTGTAATATTCTGTACAGACTTTTCTTTTGGTATTTGTCACCAATCCATTTTCTCCTCCTCAGTTTCAGTTATATCACCCGAGTCCTGTCCCTCTTTACTTCATAATTAGGTTACTGAAAACCATCCAGATTCTCTTTCCTGACCTCCAGTCTTTCTCCACCTCCCTCTAACCTACCTACCCTTAAATACTGCTTTTCTCATGTCACTTATTTCTCAGACATAAGCACTACTTCCAAAATTCATAGAATTACTGTAGTTAAGGTTTTAAAAGAGGATGCACAACTCTATAATTATATATACTTATGTATAATTATATTAACATAGGTTAAATGTTCCAATAGTTACATATTATATACAATCATCTTTAGAAGGTGATACTCCAGAGATCAGAAGATATATAAGGTATAATGTTATAATACGGTTATTTAAAGTAATATTAAAGATATATAAAGATTACATATATGTATATGTATTTTATGATTTGAGAAATATCATTTTCTTTTTTATCAAGCTAACTCTTGCCTTAACAGATCTTATTTACTTGTCTTAACCTTCATGATGTTTTATTATATAATTACACCTCCTATTCACCCAATTATTTAAAACACACCCTCAAAACAGACATCCTACTCTAGCGAAGTTTTGCATTATCCCCTGAAGCATTCTTTCCTACCTCTGTGAATATGTCTGTATAGATCTTTTGCAGGAATGCCTTCCCCTTCTCCTGTGCTTCCTATCTATTAATGATCATCTTAAGGTCCACACTGGTAAAGTCTTTGCTGGTCCATTAAATGTTGCTGGTTCTCTTTTTTCCTTGAGTCCCCGTTGTTTATAACACATATGTAACTATATGCTATTATCTATGTCTCCATATTTCACTCACTATTAAAATAATCACACTTGAAATTATCTTCCTCAGCCAATATCCTTTCCTCTTGTTTGATTCTCACTGCAATTGAAATATGTGATCAGCCGGGCTCGGTGGCTCAGCCTGTAATCCCGCGCCTTTGGGAGGCTGAGGTGAGTGGATTGCCTGAGCCCACGGGTTCGAGACCCGCCTGGGCAGCGAGAACTCATCTCTATGATAAATCAAAAAAAATTAGACGGGCATGGTAGCGCATGCCTGTAGTTCCAGCTCCTTGGAAGGCTGAGGCGGAAGGATCGCCGGAGCCCAACAGGTCGAGGCTGCGGTGGCCGGGAGCGGCCGCTGCACTCCAGTCTGGGCGACCGAGTGAGACTCCAACTCAAAAAATAAAAATAAAAATAAATAAATAAATAGATACATAAATATGTGATCATCTTTTCAGTGTAAAAGTAATATTATGTATATTAAATTACTCATTATCCTTCCCTTCACCAGTTGAATAATCATGTTAGAGAAAGCTACATTTGCTCTTGTTTATAAAGAATAATATGATGAACCCCAAAAATGGAATTTATTTACAAAAATTGTAATTATTTATTTATAAAAATTGTATTATTCACAAATATTGTGTAATTATTCTTACATGTCTCAACTTCAGTCCCCTTCAAAGTACTCTCTGTCTGATGCAATACACCTATCGATATGTTTTCTCCACTGCTCAAAGCAGCTTTTGAACTCGTCGATTCTGATGCCCTTTAGTGCTTCTGCCATTTTTGTTTCACCTCTTCCACATTGGCAAGACGTTTCCCTTGGGGAACTTTTTTCATTTGGGGACACACCAAAAAGTTGCTTGGGGTGACACTGGATGAAAGAGGAAGTTTGGGCACAGGGGTATGCCACTTTTGGTCAAAAACTGCTGGACACTCTGCATGGTGTGGGCAGGTGCACTCACAAATCACCCGTCGTGAAATGAGCAAATACGCTGAAAGAATCTCTAAAAAAGCGAATTCACTGCAACGGATCACAGCCTGTCACAACAATGCCAGCTAGTACACTGATGCCAATAGGTTCGTAGGACACTTACCTACAGAAGCAGCTTCTACTCCAAAGGGCCCACTCTCTAAAAAAATCATTTCATTTTTTTCTTGGGCCCCCCACCTTGTCCCTCTAGACTCAATTTAAAGAAACAATAGGATTAGTCTTTCTATAGGACAAATAGATAAACAAAGCAACAAGACAGTAGGTTTAGTTGTTCCAATAATAAACATTCCCTGAGCAAATGACCTAATTCCACTTGAAAAATAAGGTAACTATAAGAAATTAATGATAAAAATGAGGTTCACAATGAGGTCTGTGTGTTGTCTTCCCACAGGAAATTTTCGAGGACCACCTACTCCACCTATAGGTCTCCCAATGAGGGTCAGCGAAAACCTTCCAAAAATTGTGCAAGTTAAAGAGACAGTCCGGAAGTATTTCCCTGAGACCTGGATCTGGGATTTGGTGGTAGTCAAGTATGTTATGTGTTTTCTGGAATACAGTTTAGGAGAGGATTTGAATCCTCCTCTGTGGTTCGAGTGTTATCCTGGATTCTCAGTCCTTTCAGTTCTGCTCCACTCTTTTCTATGATATTTAGGCTCACAGTTTATCTCATAGTTAAACAATGCTAATTTTTTTCTAATCTGATCCTCACATAACTAAAAGAGTAGAAAGTGGGAGGCTCTCATCCCTCTTAAATAAAAGGAAGGGAAGTGAAGGAAAGGAGAATGAAAGAAAGAACACAAAGAAGAGGGGGAGGGATGGACAAAGTTCTCACCAGGGAAGCACCAACCCTTAGGTCAAGTTTAGCATTTATCGCACTAGGTTACTCAGTTATCATGTTCTAGGGTCAGCGATGGTTTGTGCTAAAAGAAAAGATATTTGTTCACACTCCTTTTTGCCTTTGGTAGTTCATCAGGTGGAAGTGAGCTGGCGATGAAGGTCCCGGACACCATCACGGAGTGGAAAGCCAGTGCATTCTGCTTGTCTGAAACCACAGGACTTGGCCTCTCTCCCATCGCGTCTCTTCGAGTCTTCCAGCCCTTCTTCCTAGAACTCACTCTCCCCTATTCTGTGGTGCGAGGAGAAGTCTTCACACTCAAAGCCACTGTGTTCAACTACTTGTCCCACTGCATTCGGGTAAGGATACTTCTCTGGAAGTGAGTGAGAATGGAAAGAAGAAATATAATCACCATTCATTGCCTAGATCTCCTAGGTAATCTAGGAAATCGAAACTGAATAGGATGTATACCAATTTTGGAACAGAACAGGTACTAAGAGCAAAGCTATTGACAGGTCTGAGGTGGTAAGGTTATATTCATTCATGCCTCTAATCTGTGTATTCCTACATTCAGACATTACTTTCACCTGATTAGTTCTTTTTTTCACTCTGACTAAAGAAAGCATCTCTTTCTTGTGTTGGCACAAGGCTAAATCCTAAGAACTTACCCTAATTCCTTTCAGTTTTTCGATCCCCCTGACAGGTCAGTGTGCAGCTGGAGGACTCTTCTGCTTTCCGGGCTGTCCCAGCAGAGAAGAATGAAGAATCTCACTGTGTCTGTGGAAATGGGAGGAAAACCGTGTCCTGGGCTGTAACTCCAATGTCACTGGGTGAGTGGTAATACCATTCACAAATTTCACTTTGTTTGTTGTGGTGAGTTACTTTCTGCACTGACCCCAATACATTCTTTTTCACTTCCTTTATCATGGATCAAAAGAAATAAAACTCATAGATATATTGAGAAAACTTGAAAAGAAGAAACTATTTGACGTAGACTTGCTGTTTAACTCCTTAAAAACCTTATTTTTCAGGAAAAGTGAATTTCACTGCTACTGCAGATGCCATGCAGTCTCAGGAGTTGTGTGACAATGAGATGCCTCAAGCCCCAACACTTGGACAGAAGGACACTGTAATCAAGCCCTTACTAGTTGAGGTACATAGACAGAGGTCTTATTATATAATATAGCATTATCTGATATGCACATGACAGTGACATTTCATTCCCAAGCATACAGATGTATCCACAACTCAATTTTTCACTAACATTTTCTCCTTTGTTTCAAAGTGGTTTTTCTTCTATACATTTTGTATTGCTTTACCTTTTTATTGCTTTTATTTTTTTCTGTCAATACAAAGCCTGAAGGAATAGAAAAGGAGAAAACTTTCAACACACTGCTCTGTGCATCAGGTAAGTGTAAAAAATAGATAAAATTTTCATGTTAAGCTACTTGCCAGAGTATGTAGCTGTGGAATGTCCTTTGGGGCATGCTTTTTTTCTGGGAAAAAAAAAGACCAAAAAAGTCTCTTATGCTCTTCCTTGTGCAGATCAAAGGACGTTTAATGAATAATATTTCCTGATTTTAAAAAAATCACTGAAAACTAGGTTCAATTTTCTTAAGGAATAAATGGAAAATACTATTGATGGTATTATTATTATTATTATTATTATTATTATTATTGTCATATATTAAGTGTTTTAAGGATAAAGAAACAGGCACAGAGAAGTCAAAAGACTTACCTAATAGCTCTTAGCTAATAATGAAGACTAAAGCTGTTGATCCTGAGACAAGATTCTTTCTAATATAGCTGTGTTTTCAAAATGTCTTTCCAAATTGGGCTCAAAATATTGAAAATATCTATGTGTCACTAGTGTTATTTATTATTCAATTAGTTTAAATGTACTTGTGTTATTACTCAAACAAGTTCTTACAAGAGAAACTCCAGGTCACTGACAAGTATAGAAAATCAATATTTTACAAATACCATTAATATAATAGTATAAAATTACCATTAAAAATTTAGTGTTTTTTTTATGCACCTTCAGATTGTACACCACACACCCCACCCAAAAAAAAAAAAAAATTCAGTGCTGTGCTATCTAGAATCATCTTGAGAATAATGCTCAGTCTGCAGATCTCTCTCTTCTCTATGTAAGCATTTCTTGATATCTAACCTGGTTACATGGTTTTAATAGCAACTATGTACTAGAGGACACAAAGTTTGTATCTTCAGCCCACACTTTTTTCCTGAACTCAAACTTATGTATTCAATTGTCCACACATCATCTTCACTTACAGACTTGTAGGTCTACTAGACACCTCAAAACTAGCATGCTCAAAACTGAGCCCCTGCTGGTGCCCACAAACCTGCTCCTCCCACAATTTTCTTCATCTCAGATTGATAGAAATTCCATTCTTGTACTTGTCAGGGATAAAAATTCTGAAGTTCGGGTAACCTCTTTCAGGTCCCTTCCCACTGTGGATTTTCCCGTCTTCATAATAAATCCTACTTTCTAAAAAAAATTGAAGTTCTTCTTTATCATGTTCTTTCTCTTACACTCTACATCCAACCCACTTGCAAATTTAGTCATCTCTGCCTTCAAATTATATCTAGAACCAACCCACTTCTCACCACATCTACTGCTCTAGCCCTTTCTCTCCCAGACTATCTCCATAACTTTCTAACTGGTGTCCTGATGATCTCTTCCTCTTCCCTACAACAAGGGGGATCCTCTAAAGTATGTGTCAGATCATGTCCCTCTTGTGCTGCAACTCTTCATTTTCCATGTCCCCCAAAGTTAAAGCCTAAGTTTTTAATGCCACCTACAAACCCTTGCTATCCCCATGACTTTACATCCTATTAATTTCTTCCTCATTTGTCTCATTTGGCCACACTGACCGCTTTCCCCCTCTTAGAATACACCCAGGATGTGTCAGTCACAGGGTGTCTTTACATTTGGAAGTATCTGTAAATCTTATTCCATGACTTGATTAGAGTCTCTGCTCTAAGTGCTACTAGGGAGCCTTTAGCACTTACTGGCATCTACCATTCTAGATACATCCCTGCTTATTTATCCTATCCCTACCATAAAAGTGAAAGCTCTGGGAGGTCAGAAAATTTGTTTTGAAAAATTATGTATTATTGCACCTAAAACAGAATCTGGTATATAGCAGATACTTAATACATATTAATGGAATTGGTGTGATTCTTAGAAAACACTAGCAATAGGAGAAATTAGTGCAAATCATGAAGAGAAGGCAATAAGAATGAAATAAGCATATGCATATAAGGAAAGCCACAGAAATTTAGCACAAATACATATGATGATATGAACTAGGAGATTAGTCATGGTTTTAGGAGAAACATTGCAGTAAAGAGATTATATAATAACTAGGGGGAAAGGTTGGATCTAGATCCTGTTGAGAAAAGAAATTCATAGCAAAAATTGAACATTTCTCTCATTTTCCTTTCCCTTTATGTGTCCGTCTTCTTTCATCAGATACCGGAACACCTGAAAAGTTGTCACTGAATGTCCCTTCAAATGTGGTTGAAGGATCTGTCAGGGCAACATATTCTGTTTTAGGTGAGTCCCGTGGCTCAAGGGAAGCAGCTGTCCATCTCTATAATTCTATATAATTCGCCTTGCCATTCATGATCAACGAAGCCCCTCACACAAGGCATTGGATTGAGAGAAAGTACTAAGCTAAGGGTAGCACTATGTATTTGCTGGAAAGTGGTTGAATGGATGCTGTGCTACATATTATGCCTTGATATTATCTAAAAAGCAAGAAAACTCACCTTTCTGTGCCCTATTCTTCAAGCAATTCCCTAGGTGATAATGCTCCCTGGTAGATTTGAAAATGGTTGTAGTTCTGTTTTACCAGACAGGCGGCCCATCAGATAAGATGCATCTCCTGCCATTCAGTTTTTTCCCTGCTTTCTCCATCCTTAAACTAACTACTTTATTTTCCTGGCCTTCTGCTTTTTTTCCTAATTCTTATTTCTTCGCTTTTTGTACTCTCTTACCCTTTCTTTTATAAGTAATTTAGCCTCTCTGTTACTTAGTAATCTATTTTCCTAGCCCAACACAAACTAGCTCTGTGGTCCTCTAATTTCTTTTTAACTTTTATTCCCCAGGGGATATACTAGGCTCTGTAGTGCAAAACCTTCAGAATCTTCTCCGGATGCCCTATGGTTGTGGAGAGCAGAATATGATCCTTTTTGTTCCTAATATCTATGTTCTCAACTATCTGAATGAGACACGACAGCTGACAGAGAAGATCAAGGCCAAGGCCATCAGCCATCTCGTCAGTGGTAAGAGATTATCTCAAAAGGAGGAACCTTGATTGATCTCCTAAATGTCTTTTTGTGAACTCAAATCGGCATCCCTTTGGTTATGATTTGATAATCATTGTGACTTCCAATAAAATGTCCCACTATAAAACTAGAAAATTCAATGGTATCATCAAGCCTGGAACACATCTTAATAAAATAATAATTTCCCTATGATTTCTCAACAGCACTAAGAAAAAAATAATCCTCCAGTGTGTCTGCTATTTCATAAATCTATGAAAATTTCCTCTTTAGGATACCAAAGGCAGTTGAATTATAAGCACAGCGATGGCTCATACAGCACCTTTGGGAATCGTGATGGTAAAACTCAGGGAAACACTTGGTAAGACAATTATTGCCATAAGCTCTCTACAGATTAGTGAAATTTTAAGATTCTAAAAATAGCTACTCTTCTAATTTCTAGAGTTCTTTATAGAACATCGTTAGCCTTTAAAAATCCATATAAGGTGTGTGTCATTCCTTCTGGGTAATCGCACCATCTCATCTCTGAAAGTTCATCTGCTCTGACAGCACAGCACACAGTGGTGAAATAAGGATCCTCCAAACTGGAAATCTAAGGCAGAAAAAAGATTCAAAAAGACAAAGGAAGAAGCTCCACACTGTGCATTGAGGGAGAAGAGGAGAGAGAGGGGACAGAAAGAGGCTCTGATGAAATAAAAACAGGGGGCAACATTCAGGAAATGTGGTTTCAATGATGAGGAGACTTAAAGCAAACATTTCGTGAGGAAAAAAGAAAGTGGAAAGCATCAATTCTGGGGAAACCAATAAAATTGAGAGATTAAAAAAAGAAGTTTAGATCTTTGTTGAACTAGAGAATATTCATCTCTCCAGTATCATTTCCCCAACAATTTCCTCCACTGAATTGTGAAGTTCAAGGTCTGAAGGAAGTGCACAAAGTGAGCTGTAAAAGTGAGGTGTTCATCATGCCTCACTCTCTCTTTTGCTGGACAGGTTGACTGCATTTGTGCTCAAGTCCTTTGCTCAAGCCCAGTTGCACATCTTTGTGGAGGACTCACACATCATGAATGCCCTCTCCTGGCTCTCACAGAAGCAAAAGGAAAATGGCTGTTTCCAACGCTCTGGATCACTGCTGCACAAGGCCATGAAGGTGGTGCCTTCTCTGATCTTGTTCTGATCCTGAAGATAGTGATATGTAGGAGGGACTGATGCTTCTGTTGAGTCCTCCAGTCCTGGTAGACATAGTGTTAAGGAAAGATGATGGACTCTAAAGCTCCTGAAACCTAGCAATATGCTAGTAAGCTTTTATTGAATAAAATCAGTATTCAAAAAAAATCACAAAGTCCAGTATATTATGAAAAGTGAGGGAGAGTGATTTGGGACAGACTCAAGAACTATAGGGTAGGAAACGAAGAGGGGAAATCAACAATATGACACAAGAAAAGAAGTTAGAGAAGAGGCCAACAGCAAAACGAGACTTAGCAGACCCTGGTAAATGTCTATAGGAGTGTTTGAATCTCTTTGCCTCTGATCCTTACAGGGCGGAGTGGACGATGAGGTGACACTCTCTGCCTACATTACCATTGCTCTGCTGGAGATGCCACTGCCTGCGACTGTATGTACAAGGACGTTCCCTGTACCTCTTTCACAGATGCAAAGAATAGAAATTATGAAACTATGAGTCCATGAGAAAATTAATTACGGTTTTCATGAGATTTAATTTTGGCTTATTTACTGGATGTAAAGGATCACATACTTTTGGAAGCTACAGGGGAAACTCTTCTTTGGTCAGAATTGTGTTATTTCACAGACACATTGGACTTTTTAATCTGAGGTTATGCTGGAGACAATTCATGGGTCTGATTCTACTGGTTTAAGATAGCCTTTCATCTTCTTTATAGCACACAGTTGTCCGGAATGCTCTATTCTGCCTGGAAACGGCCTGGAACTCCACATCAGAGGCCCAAGAAAATCTTGTCTATACCAAGGCATTATTGGCCTATGCCTTTGCCTTAGCAGGTAACCAGGCCAAGCGAAGAGAGCTGCTTGAATCATTAGACAAAGAGGCTGTGAAAGAAGGTAAGAGCTGCTATTGCAAAATTTACTTCAAACAATCAGTAGTGATCAAAAGAAGAGAATGGCCAAGCACAGTGGCTCATGCCTGTAATCCTAGCGCTTAGGGATTGCGGGAGAATTGCTTGAGCCTAGAAGTTTAAGACCAACCTGGGCAACATAGAAAGACTTGCTCTCTACAAAATAAAAAACTTAGCTGAGTGTGGTAGTGTGTTCCCATAGTCCCCGTTATTCAGGAACTTGGAAAGCTGAGGTGGGAGGATCACTTGAACCCAGGAACTGGAGGCTGTGTTGAGCCCTAAAGTGTCACTGGACTCCAGTCTGGGTAGCAGAATAAGACCTCAACTCAAAAAACAAAAACAAAAAAAAAGGAATGTGCCTTGACTAAGCTTTTATTTATCATGCACCCTTAATTTTAGTGACAATAGGAATAATTATCATTGATCTAACACTTAAATTCTCTAGGTAACATGGACAATTTTTTTCAGTTCACACATTATAGCCTCTATACAGCTTCACCTTCTAATATCACTCAAGTATGTGTAATAAACACAAAAACTCAATGCAATTAGTTGAAAATTTAATTTACTTTCTTGGCAAAGACTTGCATAGTGGTGACTATTGAACACTTTCTTTCTCTTTATGCCATTCATTCATGAGTTCTAATTACAATCAGCATCCATGGATTGGACTTTGAAACCACGCTCTAAGCGAAAGTTTCTATCTTTTTCCATTTCAAAGAGGATTCAATCCACTGGCAACGTCCTGGGAAACATCAAGAAGCTAACACATTACATTATCAACCCCGGGCTCCCTCTGTGGAAGTGGAGATGACATCTTATGTGCTCCTTGCCTATCTTACCATGCTGCCTGCCCCATCTCCAGAAGACCTGTCTGTGGCATCACGTATTGTGAAGTGGATTACCAAGCAGCAAAACCCCAATGGAGGCTTCTCCTCCACTCAGGTCTGTGAGGAGCCTCTAGGAGCAAAAATAAACATATTAACACTTATGTAGACACAACCATATTCTGAATAGTTAGTATTTCTGATTCACATCTTATTCATCCTCCCATTACCAGACCAGTTCCAGCCTTATTGTTTTATATATAGATTACTGCTCTGTTCTATTTATACTCTCATATTTTTCTCTCCTTAGTGGACCCCTCAACCATATGGGTAGATTGATCTTCCCAAAGCAATGTTTTCATGGGATTACTTCCCTTGAAAATAAATATTTTTTCATCCAAAGTCTAAAGTTATTTAATATTTTACCAAAAATATTTTCTATTTCCAGTAAACATGAATGTACCCATCTAATTAGGCAGATCCCTTTGTTTTTCCAGGAACTCCTCAATGTCATTTCTATGTCTTCACACAGAACATTCCTACCCTGGTACTTCCTGATGCCCTTTTTTTGTCTAAAGAAACCCTGCGTGTTATTAAGAGACAATCTTATTTCTTACCTTCTTCAGTCTTTTCTTACAGTTCTAACCCATATTTTCTTCTGTCTTTTCTCAACTTTGGCATCAAATATTGTTATATAAATTGATATATTATTGCAATAGTTTCTGCTTATGTCAAATATGCGTCTTATTTTTATATGTATATTATAAACTACTTGAGTGAAGAGACTTTTTAAACTTTCCTCCTAATGTACCTAGAATAGTTCATCATTAACAACCAGATATGAACTAATTGAAATTGGATTAATGCACTGAATTTATGACTAAATAATTCTGAAAGAAAGTAGTGTTGTCATGGTTTACATCCAGTGAGATTTTGCTGCCCTGCTCTCCTGTGATTTCTGTACTCGTCTTTTTTCAGGATACAGTGGTAGCTCTTCAAGCCCTCTCCAAATATGGGGCAGCAACTTTCACTAAAATTGAGAAAGAAGCTTTGGTCACCGTTAAATCTTCAGACACCTTCTCTGAAAAATTCCACGTAGTTGATTCCAACCGCCTATTGCTGCAAGAGGTCAGGTTGCCAAAGATTCCAGGGGAGTACAGCACAACAGTGTCAGGGTCAGGATGCGTGTACCTCCAGGTAAGACTACCAGGGTTTAGCAGATGCTGCTAATGGGAAGGAATGTTTCAAGAGTTAAATTTTAAATTCAGAATATGCTGAGGGATGTTATGAATCATCTGGAACAGATTATGAGACTATTTGAGTGCAAAGATAAAGGATTCTTCCAATTTATTTTAGACATCTCTGAGATATAACATACTTCCCAAGAAAGAAGAGAAAGCACCCTTTGCTCTGCATGTTGATACTCTCCCCCAAAATTGTGATGGAATAGATGCTCACAGAAAATTCCAGATTCGCATCAACATTAGGTAATCTCCAAATCATGAGCAGACCTTTCATAGAATATGAAGAAATTGATTTTCCTGTGTGTGGGAACTCCATTGTCCAAAGTCACACATAATAAATATGGAATTCTTGCAGTCGTTATTAACAAGAAAATTTTCTTCACTCTTACTGAAAAACCTTAACATTGAGAATATAATATTGTCATGTCTGAAAAGTATGAATTTGAAATGATGAGCTTCCCAAACAACCATAATAGAAGCAAATACATGGATTGCCTGAGCCCACAGGTTCAAGACCCACTTGGGCAACTTGGCGAGACCTCATCTCTACAATAAATCAAAAAATTAGCCGGACATGGTAGTGCATGCCTGTAGTTCCAGCTACTTGGAAGGCTGAGGCGGAAGGATCACTGAAACCCAGCAGGTTGAGGCTGTGGTGGCCAGGAGCGTGCCACTGCACTCCAATCTGAACAACAGTGAGACTCAAACTCAAAAAAAAAAAAAAAAAAGAAGAAGAAGCAAATACAGTAGACAGAGAAATTGAGTGATGGGAATAAGGGGAAAGGGGAGAGTTTGTCTTGAATAAATTCCAAGACATTTTATTTAAATGCCTTATTTTTATGCCTTGACCTTCTAGTTACACTGGGGACCAACCCAGCTCCAACATGGTCATTGTTGATGTGAAGATGATATCAGGTTTCATACCTGTGAAACCATCAGTGAAAAAGGTAAACCCTAAATCCCTTAAAAATAACAAAGTTGTGACAAATGTTGACATTTGTGGTTGTCAATTTGACTTTATTGATGTAGTTTTCAGGAGGTTTACTTCCTTAAACTAGTTTCTCTTGGGTGTGTTTCTGTCATTTTAATAGTAGGTATCATTGTTATATTGAGTAGGAAATATGTCAAAACATGATAAATAACATTCTAGCAGGCTCTGAGACATCTAAGTATATGGAGTAGCATTGAATTACCTTCCAAATATATGGTTGGATATATGTGGATATGCACACATATAAAGGACATATGTGTGTGTTTATATTCATATATCACACATATATTCATTTGTATATACATGTATGGAGAGAGAGAATTTTATAAATAGCGCTATTATTATTATCATCATTATCACCATTATTTTTGAAGAAATCAAAATTAGCAATTTGGATGCTCCTGAGAAGCCGTTTAGATCATAAATACTTGAAAACTGCTCCCAGTATAAGTTTTCTTCATTTCACATTTCTGGCTTACCCTGTTGGTCAACAGCTCCAAGAACAGCCTCAGATTCAGAGGACCGAAGTGAGCACCAACCATGTTCTAGTTTACTTTGAAAAGGTAAGTCTCTCTGTGACACTGATAGATCTGGAAGTCTCACAAACCACAACAGATTCAAATAGTTCACACACACACTGGTAAGGGAGGACAAAATAGCTATGAAGGGAACTGAGGACTCGACTAGCCAACAGGCTGTATTCTTTTTGACTGTTCATATAATTGTCTCTTTTGTCCTTCTTTTATCTGCTGCTAAGTATGTTATGCAGGTCACAAAATGCCCATTTTTCCCATGGGTTTTGGTAAAGATGTGTAGCATGACTACAGGATTTTATAATATCTTAAGTAGAGAGGAAGGTAATTAGTAACTAAGTTGATCTTTGATTCCAATTCAGTTTTCCTGTCTCTCCAGCTAACCAGACAACCCCTGAATTTCTCCTTCCTGGTGGAACAAGACATCCAAGTCAAGAACTTAAAACCAGCTACAGTGAAAGCCTATGATTACTATGAGACAGGTGAGGGAGGTTTAGACATGCTGTGCTTTGAAAGGAAAAAAAAAAAGACTAACCTAGCAAGACTAAGATTAAGATTGCCTTAGCTAAAATGAAACTCCATAATCCTTCACTGGAAGAAAAAGTGAGTTCGTGGCACTGGGTAATCATGTTCTTGTATATTAACCTGGCATGTGCCCCATAAACCAATTTTAAAGTCAGCCTTATAAGTTGCTTATAAATCAATAATGTGTCAATTCTATCTAAATTTCCCTACGAGACTGTTTGGTCTGGGCTAAATTATTCCAGAAAAATAAGACTATAATAGCTACAAAACCACATCTCAGGGCTGATGTGTGATGTGGACTTAAATTTGATGTTTTCAATTTGTTCTTTGGATAGTCTCATAAAATTTGGAAAGCTTTGTAATATATCAAGAAATCCTTACATTTTCTTGTTATTTTGAACTAGAAACTTCCCAGCATATAGCATGATTATAGTGTGAAAACTTATCTTCTTTGATGAAGAAAAGTTTCAGAGAGGAAAGTACAACTCCAACAGGAAAAATGTGGCTGCAAAAAGGGACTCTCCAGAGTCCTATATTTGTACACAGGCACACCACCTGACTAACCTGCCTTCAACTCTCTACCCAACCTCAATTTTATTTTAGTTTCCTCCCCCTGCATCCCAAGCAGCTGAGTATAGACTTTAGTCATTGATATTGGTTCTATAGCTATTGCCTTAATCCTTCTTTCATAGCTACATTTTTCTTTTACACTTAACATCTCAGGTACCTATAATTGAATGTATTTACCCCTCTTTCTGATCATTTCTATGTTTCAGATGAATTCACCATTGAAGAATACAGTGCCCCTTGCAGTGCTGGTAAAGTATAAACCGTACAACCAAATGCCAACTAAAAGAAAATAAACAAACACCTCAGTTCTCTGTAAAAGTCTGCCTCTTAAGATGAGTGTATTCTTTCTATATTATTATGGAAACATCAGATATATCATTTATGAACTATGTCAAATGTGTTATAGAAAAAAATGCAAACTAAGAATAATTACTGGTGTTTTGGATGGCTGACTTGAAGATGAGTCCAAGAATCTGCCATATGTAAAAACTAAATAATCTAATATTTAGTTTACCTTCTATATCCAGTGATGATATCTTATATTTATTACCCATGGCCTATACCTGGTGATGATATCTTATATTTATTACCCATGGCCTATACCCGGTGATGATATCGTATATTTATTACCCATGGCCTTTCTAGCTTATTTCTAAATGTACACTAGATTAGGTCAGGAAATTGTCACTGTGATCATTCATCTAGCACAGCATGAGAGGTGGAATCTATAAGGCCTTCCTTTATGCTGGTTGACAGGGTTCATCTTCAACAAGATAACATTTGCTGTGAGAACTTCAGTTCTCCATTTTAAAATATGAAAAAACTAAGAAGTGTCCTATTAAAAATAATTTAAAGTTACTAAGTTCAAATATAAAAATTGTTGCTTTAGTGGGTCACAGAATTTCCCTGATATTTCTACTTTTTCTTCTCCTGCTCAGAATCTGAACACGAAAATGCTTAAAAATGGAAACTCTTGAACCTCATCAGATGAACACCCCCAGAAATGAAGAACAACAGGCGAGAGAACAGTGAGAGGAAGAAGTGAAGAGGATTAAAAATAGAGAAAATTCATATGTTGAATAAATCTATGGCATTTATGACTCATATCTTTTCTTTTGTTTTTTTTTATCAATATCATTTTTATTTTTGTATGTGCTGGAGCATTTGTTTAAATCACCAAGAAAAGCTGTACAAAGAGGTACACTTGAAAACACTATGAATGAATCAAAGTGGAATTCAAAAAGATGTTCAATTCACCCACAAAAAGATAGGAAAAAGAATACAATGTTTCCAAACATTGGAAACAATCAAAACCTTCATCATCAGGTGAATGGTTTAATGTGGTATATCCATGCCATGGAGAACCACTGGGCGATAAAAAGGAATAACTGACCCAACAACTTGGTGAATCTCAAAAACATAATGATATTATGATGGGAAGAAAAAAAAGCCAATCTCAAAAGGTCATATACCATGAATCCCTTGGCTCAATCTTCTTTAAATAAAAAAATTATAGAGATGGAAAGCAAATTAGTGGTTACCAGAGTTTACAGCTGGTGGGAGGAGGGAGATGCGTGTGACTATAAAAAGGTAGCACTAGCCGGCTCAGTGGCTCAGCCTGTAATCCCAGCACTTTGGGAGGCCAAGCCGAGTGGATTGCCTGAGTCCGCGGATTCAAGACCAGCCCAGGCAAATTGGCGAGACATCGTCTCTACAGTAAAATAAAAAATTAGCCAGGCATGGTTGTGCATGCCTGTAGTTCTGGCTACTTGGAAGACTAAGGTGGAAGGATCGCCAGAGCCCAGCAGCTTGATGCTGGGGTGGCCGTGAGTGTGCCTCTGCACTCCAACCTGGGCGACAGAGTGAGACTCGAACTCAAAAAAAAAGATGGCCCTAGAGAGATCTTTGTGATGATCAAATCCTGCACGTGTGGAAGCAAAAGTCCAGGTTCAAATTTTTACATTTAATTCTATCTCAAATTATTTATTATGCATTGACTGGTGAGCAGATGTCTAAATTGACTTTTTTCTTGTCACTTTTTAATATTCCTATATCACTGATTTAGGTTTCAAGGTTTCAAGCAAGAGAATAGTTCAGATTTGCATTATGGATATATCATCTTCCAAGCAATGGCAGGAGGAAGAAAACAAGTTTTTTTCGGATCCCAGACACACAGCCCATTTGTGCAGAGCTGAGCTCTCTTCTCCATGCTTAGCCAAACAGTAGAGTAGACATATACTTCTATTCCACTTATATAAATTCAACACTTTAGAAGCTTGTTTATTTTTCTCTCATCCAGATTCAGGTCTCTTTGAAAGCCAGACTTGTACCTTACCCATGTCTGCACAGCCTGTTCACCCCACACAGTGCTGGGAATGTTGTTCTTAGTAAAACAAGGGAGTAATTGAGTTAATCAGTGCCTGAATGAGCCTATTCCTGTAGCTAGACAGAGGAAAAATGGAAAAACACAAAAGTGTCAGTACATACCAGTAGGGAAAATGAGCTTAGAAAAATCATTTTGACAAACCTGGCTTGAATTGCTTAATGTTTCACAAACACTTCAAGGAATAAGATTTTGATGTTCTTCCAAAGTCAAATAATTGCAGGGGAAAAGGAATTTGGGTTGTTTATTAAGACTGAGCTAAACTTGTTTAAAAGCACCATTTATATATTGAGTTTTAAGAGAGAAATCATTGCCTTCATCTTGCAAAACTGACAACAATCATCAAAAAGGAGGCCTGGTGTGGTGGCTCACACCGGTAATCTCAGTACTGTAGGAGGCTGAGGCAGGAGGATTGCTTGAGTCTGGGAGTGCAAGACCAGCCTGAGCAACATAGAGAGAACTTATCTCTATTTTAAAAAAAAATAGCCATGCATGCTTTGTGCATCTAGAGCCCCAGCTACTCGAGAGGCTGAGATAGGAGGATTATTTGAGCCCAGAAGTTCAAGACCAGCCTGTTCAACATAGTGAAACTCTATTCCAGTTTTACATTTCTAGCCCTCTTTCATACTTAGAGCTTACCTCAAAAAAAAAAAAAATTTCTAGTTGTTAACAGTCTCCAGGAAGATTTTTCTTGTTTATTTTTCCTATGGTCATAAGTAAACAGGTGAGTCATAATTTTTAAAATCCATGAGTCATTAATATTTCAGAACTGCAATCCATATTTGGTTGAAAGGACTGATTGTAGGTTTTAATTTGTTCTCGTACAGCCCCTAAAAATGTTTGGCTGGTATTTAATTCAAAGTGAAAGTGTTGTTAAAGACCTTTATTCTTACTAATTTTTAAACAGAAAAATATCACTGTTATTTAAATAGCCATAATGTGAGAAACCTTTGTGTTTTCACTTAATATTCTCAGACACTTTTCTTGCAAAATTCAGGAATGAATATTAATGAGATTATATTAACACAAATAATACTCAAGGTACTAAAGGCAAAGGTTCTGTGTGGATTCAAGTTATTGTTGAACAAAGCTTTGCCTGAAAATATCTGTGCCAAGATGTAATGTGTACTTGATCTGACAAAATGAAACTTGTCGTGTTCAGTAAATAATCTTTGATTACCAAAAGTCTGTTAATATATTAGCTGTACAAAAAACTTTCATCACCAGTCCACTTGAATAACACCATGCCCAAAAATGCTCTCCCAACAGCACAGAGCAGCTGAATGTAAAATTAAATCGCTTTTTTGTAGCAGGCACGAATTTAAAATATTAAAAATAAAAAGAAAATGCCTTTGTTACATTGTGTAAATTAAAGATCTCTTTAGCCGTGCTTACCTGTGGTCCCAGCTGCTCGAGAGGTTGTTGTGGGAAGATCATTTGAGTCCAGGAAGTCAAGACCAACCTGGGCAACAACATAGCAAGACTCTGTTCCAGTTTCCCAGTTTTTCATTCCAAATTCTTTGTCATGCTAAAAGCTAAAAAGATGAATGTTTGTCCTTCTGTGACTGGCTTATTTCACTTAGCATAATGTACTCCAGGTTCATCCATGTTGTTCCAAAAGACAAGATTTTTTTTTTCCAGGCAGAATACTAATCCATTGTATGTATATATCATATTTTAAAAACCCATTCATCTATCAATAAACCCAAGTTTTGTATCTTGGTTATTGTGAACAGTGAAAAAAACACACATCTGTAGATATCTCTTTTAGAAACCTGATTTTAATTCTTTCAGAAATATAGCCAGCAGTGAGATTGCTGGATCACATGACAGTTCTATTTTGTTGTTGTTGTTGTTTTCCATAGTTGCTGCACCAGTTTACATTCCCATCAACAGTGCACGAGCATTCCAATTTCTCCACATCTTCACCAACACTTGTTGTCTTCTGTTTTTCTATAATAACAACCTAACAGATGTGAAGTGATATCTAGTTGTCGTCTTGATTTACATTTTCCTAATAACCAATTATGTTGATCCTCTTTTCATTCACCTGTCAATCATTTGCACGTGAAACAGTATTTTTTACAGAAATAGAAAAAAGCAATCCTAAAATTTACATGGAATCACAAAAGGCCATGAATAGCTGAAGTGATCTTGAGAAAGAATAACAAAGGAAGGCATCATATTTCCTGATTTCAAAATTTATTGCAAAGTTAACATAATCAAAACAGCATGATACCAGCATAAAGACAGACACATAGACCAATGGAACAAAATAGAGAGCTGAAAAATAAATCTACATAGATATGGTAAACTGATATTTGACAAGGGCCCCAAGAATACAAAATAAGGATAGGACAGTATCTTCAATAAATGATGTTGCAAAAACTGGATATCCACATGCAAAAAGAAAAAACATAAATTATACGCAACAATTAACTCAAAATAGATTAAAGAATTAAACATAAGACCTGAAATGAGTACAACTCCTAGAAGAAAATATAGGGATAAATCTGCCTGATACTGGTTTTGGCAACAATCTCTTTGACATGACACCAAAAGTTTAGGTAACAAACGAAAAAAATAGACAAGCAGTATTGAATCAAGCTAAAAAGACTTGTGTAACACACACACACAAAAACAACAGAATGAACAAGTGACCTACAGAATGAGAGATAAAATTGACAAACAATATATGTGATAGAAAGATAATTTCTAAACTATATAAGGAACTCTTGTAATTCAACAGGAAACAAAACAAATAACCTGATTTAAAAACTGATTTTTAATTTGTTTTAAATTTAAGATCCTATCTTTGAAAGGCAAAAAAAAAGTTATCATTGGTCACTAAATTAAATAGGGTTA